TTAGAGGGTTAAAATGTGTTCTCGAGCATATATTATGATAGTCGGCACTCTCTAGTATCCGTTTGCCGTTTAGTCGCTAGATATATGATGAATGTGGGTTTGGCGTAATAAACGCATACTCATCGGATGCCATCTCCATATTCCATCATTTTGCCCAGCCTCTTGAAGTATTTATCATATCCCATGAGCCAGCTAACTACTCGGAACGAAGAAACAACCGTCGCTATGGAAGGCTTGACTACAACATGCCTTGGGCACACTTCGTATATCAATGAGTTGATAATTTGGTCCCGAAGATTGTCGAACCAAATCCGATGCCATGTAAGCCTTCTGTCCTAATCAAAAAGCTAATTACGAAGACAAGCTAGGTATTGTGGCAATAATTGAAAATCTGGTAACCCGCTAATCATTACAGACAGACACCCGCGAAGAGCGAAGCGTCATCACCAAAAAGAATAGTACTAAAATAAAAGGTGTCAAATTTGATTTGACCATACTCTGGAATGAGCCATTAGAAAATAACCTTATGTACACCGTTGAATCTGTTTTCTAATATGTTTTCAAAACAAAACTCTACAGTGAGGGTAGATTCTGAAGCTGCTTCTCAAGGGCATCATAGATGAAGGGACAGGGCTGCGTCGCCTGATATCATGGGAGTAAGTTTTAGAATAATCTCGATATTAGGAATATAATTGTCCAATTTAGGTAATCTAAAGGTTGGGTTATTTTGTCGGAACTGTTACATCCCGCTTAGACCTTTGGTAAAGTCCCTGAAAGTTGGCCCCCATACAGTTTTATCAGGGATTTTCTTGCCGGTGACTACTTAGTTCTAGAAAATCCCTCACAAAGCAAGGAAAGATCTTGGCATCTATTCTGTCGACAGAAGTCTCTTCATAGTATCAATGGTGGTTCACTGGCAAATAGGTAATAGGCTTCTGTACATGATGTGATATCTCGTGTTCGTCTTAATCTTCTGAGAAGGCTTGAAACCCTGATGATCTCCGGTGGTTCCAACTAAGTGGTCGTGGTGGCGTCTATTTATGAGAACCAGGAGGTTACCAGACACCATACGGTTGATTTTTTTTTCGGATTCGCACGGCGCAAGGAAGCCAATGTTAACATCCTGAAAACCATTTCCCAAATATACCCTGACTTTGAGGGTAAGAGAAAAGATCTAAATGCTATCCAACAAATGGTCGGTGACTAGTGTAAAGGGGTGATAAGAAAAAATAAAACCGGAAAACAAAAACAAAAAAAAAAAAAAAGCCAGTAACTGGGTCTTCCTAAGCATAGGGTGGTCCGTAGGAGCTCTACAGTAGGTATCAGTTTGACCACCATCTTTTAAGAACCACCATCAAGTCTCCTTCTCCCCCAATCGAGCATAGGATGTTTGCTTGCGCATATCAACTCACCACTCTATCCTGCACATAGGTTTTAGTCGTAGGTATTTGGGCTTTCAATAATTATTACCACCCCACTATCGAGTCGCTGCGTTCGTTGGTATAGTGTACGGGATTGCGCGCGGTTAGTGTTAGACTTGACTCTGTCTTCCCATCATAATAGCCAGCTGATCTGGTAAGGCTGCCGAGCATAGGAATTCTGCACACATAACGAGGTGTTGGCAAAAGGGAAGCAAGGCCTTTTTTCCAGGTAAAGCGCAACGACTTGATTCATTGTATCTTAGACATTGGCACCACCAGCGAAGGGATTTTGTGTTCACATTGGCAATGGGGGCTAACCCTTATTGCTCCTATAAAATGAACTCCTCTTAGTATGAGTCACCGCCGATCCACTATCTGATCGGAAGCGCTCCGAGGGAGTCTCCTCCATTCCTCTATGCGATGGCTGGCTCCCTTCCCATAACCGTCTGACACCATTCTCGGAAGGACCTTATCCTCTCTAAACTCCTTGCCACTCATTTACGACTACTCGGTATATTCACTGTTCCCTGATGTGACTGGCGGTAAGTGGTAACAAAGTCGATAAAATGAATATACTGGCAGATTGGTCTTTCAAGTGGGCGGCGGGGTCCTGGTGTATAGAATCCGGGAAAAGGGTAGTGGGACTCTTATGTGACTGTATATAATGATCACTAGCTGAATCCATTATCATAGACGGTCGAAGGCATCATGTGCATGTGGACGTGCTATTGAACTCTCAGCCCCATTTTTCTATCAAACACCACGTCCTTACTGAAACTTCGTCGATATTTCCTACGTTTACTGGTTAGTATTACGCACCCAATCGTTATAGATACACACCGGATATATCCCCGATAGATAAAATGGTGAAGATGCCAAAATGCTGCATTGACCGAGGCACAAATAAATCAGGAACACAAGATGTAAATTACTACTGAAATAGATAAGGGTGGGAGAAGAAGCCGTGCACACCCAGGGTCTGGGTCTTGAATGCTCCGGCTATTTGCTATGCGTAATCTCCTACCCGTTCCATTCAATAACTGACTATATTTACCCACGTTTTCTATTTGGGGATCCTGGTCGTGGTATAAGTACACGGAAATCGCCGGAGGAGCGATCCATCTGATATATTGGGAAAAGCCATGGGGAAATTTAAAGAAATACTTTTTCTTCGATCTCCCAGAGGTATGTGTTTGCCTCTTGTCAGAATACATACCACAACTTAACTATGGAGAACTAGGTGCTCTGGCAACGCAGGAAAACTCGCGGCTTTGGGCCTGGAGCCCATCCCGCCTTGACGGGACTTCGCTTACAGTGGATGCCATCGCTCTCGGGAAAGAGAGCGATTCCAAATTGGCATCATTGCCCCTTGGTGACTTTGGGCAGACTGCGTTTGTTTTTCCTCTCGCACGCCTATATAATGATCTCAGTTTCAGTATATATGAGTATCTAGAGACCTACAGGGAAGTTCAAAGGAGTATCCCAAAATTTCTCGTGGTATGAAGATTTCGGATTCCCTGTTGTGTGTGCCTAAAACGTTGACTTGTTCTAGAGCCTGGCCGAATATGGAGCGGACCCGTTCGTAGCCAAAGCAGTAGAGAATGCAATCCAGTGTGCGACAAAAACCGAATATTCAGAATTGTTGCTTGATCCACGGTTCATAATTGAACCAGTCCAGAGACTCCTTAATGCTCCCACTCCCGTAAGTCATAAGCAGAAACAGCTAATCATACTTCACTCTCGTTTTCGCAAACAATACTTATCCGAGGACTCGACATGGAATATTGAGTTCGACACATCAGAAAACGAGCTTTTAGGTATAAAGCCACATAAGATACCTGTCTACGCCGAAGCGAAAACTATAATTGATGCAAGTCTCTTCAATTCACTTACAGCAGAAGATATAATAAGTATTACGAATCTTAAAGACTTAAATTTACGCTGCGACGCTCTCACGCGCCAAGTTCAAGAATATATGGATGTCGGCGTGAATCCTGAACTTATCGATCAACTTGCCCAGGTAAGCCTTTAATATGTTACGGGGATATAAAGATCACGAGAAAGAATAATCCCTGTATAGGAATTTCGGAACAGGCGGAACTTCTTCTCTTTCACATCTGTCCTTAATGGGGTCGCCTTGAGCCGTCTCAAAACAGAGACACTTTCTCAGTGGGCAACTCTTATCGACTCATATGAGCAATACAAGGGCTATAGGGACTTTGTGCGCCCGGACCTCGGGAGGCCAGCTTTACACTCTTTGGTCCCCTATGTAACATTTTGTAAGCATTGGCAGACACAGAGAGCTCCGCACTCGCCCGTCGACAAGCAGGCAATGAGGGGTTGGAACTCGATATCAGAGGGAGTTCTAAACGATATAGAGAAGGTCGTCTGTTCATATCAAGAGTACAAACGAACTCTGCTCAAGGCTCAGACCGTTGATGGGTAATATTCAAACCCATTCAGTACTGAATAACGGAGAAAGGTCGCTACCCACATATAAGGAACGGGTGGAAAATAGGTCATTCCCACATTTACAAGAGGAATGACCCATAGATCACGGCCACACATAGCAGGAACCACATAGATATACACCTAGGTAGGGAAGGCCGCCGGTCTCTTATAATTAGTAACCTTTGTATGAGTTTACCTCGCGTGCGCCAGTAGATACCATATCAATAATAGTCTATTATTTTCCGGATTACACTTAGTTGCAGGCATTGTTTGTTTACTTTTTTTCTTTAATCCTACTTATCTAGGTTTGTTTTGTGTCGCATGCTAGACACTATCCGGGTGTTCGACAAGAGGGTTCTAGCAATCTAAATACGGCCTTTATATCATAGCTAAATAATATGTGTTGACCCATTCCAATGACCCATCATCATATTTCTTTTTCCAATTTATGGGATACCAAGATATCCAGACATGTTAGACTTACATTGCGCAACTAGTCAGTCGAGAGATAACCTGAAGCAGATCACGTATCTCGACCTTAGTCCTTAATCTTGAAGATGTGATTTCAAAGGTGAAGGAGGGGTTTTAGGCACCCTCAATATTGAGCTGAAAGAGGATCCCCTGGGTCTTGATTCCCCGGCGAGCCGACTACCACGGCTGGTTACCAATCGGTCCTATCAGCCTATTACGTAAGAGGTCGCCAACCCTTTACTCCTTGTGTTGGTATAGGGTTCATTCTACATATCTATTGGATGAAAGATTAATGAAAATCCATACAGAACACTTTCACAACATTGGACGTGCAGCCGTGCATTATGCCTAGTGTATAGGGCGAGGGCTGAAACCTTAGGACTATCTTTTCAATGCTTCTGTTGTGAAATGAGATGAATATATTTTCAAATTAGTGAGACCGACAGCCTACCTAGACGTGGAAAAGGAAGTATGATAAGTAAAGGGAGATAAACATTGTCTCTTCAATCTACTTCTTCTGGACAAACCTAGCGCCCGGGCCCTAGACCTGTCGTCTCACCCCAAAGTCGACAGCTTAAGTAAAAGATGGAATCTTATCATTAAACGTGTATTGACCAGCTGCTATGAGATTATCCGCTATATGTACCTACAAAAAATTCAATTTCCCTTTACACAGTAATGATATCCAAGCCATAGATTCGAGCAATTTTGGTTCAAACCCGGGTTTAAGCGGCGCAGCTCATTTAGGCTCACATTGAATGCCTGCTGCAGCTTCAGACAGTAATCATTGTCCACCACCAGATGACGCTGCTGGCAAGATGACAGCGAGGAGGGATAATTGGGGCTTCCAAGCGTCCTGCTAGCCTGTATAGGGGCGGGCATGTTGCCGGCATTAGCTGGGGTCACTGGGGTGCTCACCGGCGCATTTAGTGCCGGACTAGGAACAGGGCGCTTTTCCACAATAGAAATGCTTGGGGCGGGCGGTGCAGTGGTTACCAAGACTCTCCTGCTTGTAGCGGCCCCGGATTGCTGGGATACCCCGATGTTGGGGGTGGGCGAGGGCGAGGTACTGGCACGTAAAGCCATGTTTGGCTCCGACGGAAGTATAGGCTGGGCGACCGCGTGCCAGGTCTGTGTCGTTGCCGAGTTGGCCTGGAATGACGCACTAGTAACGCCTGTAGCGCTGTCGCCGCTGGCCGGGACGTTCTGGTCATCCAAGTGGCCTGAGGCACCACCCGCAGAAGTGGCCATCTTGGCGACATCGTTCGAATTGCAAGTGCTAGGGCCGTCGGTCCATTGGCCAGTGAGGCGGTTGGCGATATCTGACGCGTAGCATGGAGTGGCACCCTGGCCATCGCCCAAATTCTTCGACGGAGCCAGCGAACCAGAGTTGTATGAACGGGCAACCTGGTATAGAGTGGTGGCATCCGTCTTTCCACCAAGTTGCTGGAGATGCTTCTTTAAGCCGCCCTCTCCGTTGACGCCATCGTTAATCATGGCCGAGATCTGTTTCTTCGTGCAAGGCTTGGTGCCCTTTCCGTTATTCCAGCAGCTCGCCTTACCATTGTGGGTCTGCATCAGGCCTGGGTTACGCACGCTTCTGTCCGGGGCAACCGTCGTCCTGACTCTCACGCAGCCCTTGGTCTCCTGCATCATAATAGCGAAAACAAAGTTAGAGTAGCCTCTGAAGGGGCTTTGTTCGGTGACCTCCTTGATGGAATCTTTTAGCCAACTCGTCTCTTCCTCGGTGTTGTCATCAACGCCCCAACTTGAATCACAAACACCAATGTTCTTCTGGTTGGCGGTCCACTTAAGGTGGCATGCTCCATTAGCTCGCAGGTTGACGTTCATTTCGCAAAGGGATCGACTCACAATAGCTCAAAACTCTTCCATTGCTTGGTTGACTTCCATCCCTCCGATGTCAATCCTTTGCCCCCGTAGGTCTGATAGACCCGGGGTATCAGATTGTTCTCTCGATAGTTGGACATCGGAGCTCCCGAAATCAAAGTGGTGAGGCTGCCAGCAGCCAAAATCTGGGGATAGTCAGATAGTGCACGTGCTTCTCGCTTGGCCGTAAGAATCTTACCAAGGAAGAAAGGAACATAATCAACTAAAATGAAAAAAGGCGCCCACCACAGAATTATCCCTAGATTTGGTCCGCGCGTGACATGGGAATAATCTTCCAATCCAGGGTAGATTGTTCACCGGTTTAATTTTTAGCCAGTCAATTGTCGCGGCCCTTTCTTTGTAATAACACACCTAGCTGCCACAGCCCTCGGGGTCCACTCAAAAGGAATAAAGATTAACAAGGACCTTAAAGATAACTTAGGTACCTCTACTTCTTTATTTCCAGCGTGCTTTTTTGTTCTGCCAGGGAGTCGCCCTTGAATGGTGGTATGTCGTAAGCCCGGCCTTTTATAAGGAGGTCTATCAATAGAACAATAAGCTCTTAAATTGTTTACAATTCTCAGTCCATAGGTACCTTCACTAACCGTTGGAATTCTCCGCTTCGTCCCAAAAACTGCCTATGGTCCCAGATTGAACTTACAGGGTTTGACATATGAGTAAAGTAGAGCCCTGTTTTATCAAACCCTGACTACTCCGCTTTACTGAAGCAAGATTGGCCGTTCTCTCCGACCTTTCCAATCTAGCCCTGTATATATAGAGCTTACAGTGTGATCGTAGGACAATTTCGCGTAATATAAGTACTAGATTGAACCTTCAAAGAAGCTATTTCTCCTACAGACACCCACTTCTGCCAGGAAAGAGGTAGCAGATTTACAAATATACCTTGTCGTTAGATCTCGCCAAAAGCCTATCAGTTCCACCAATCAACTCAAGATTTTTGCCAAGGATTGAATGACGAATCAAATCGCGATTGGTGGACGTGTCTCCCAAGGGTCAATATAGGCGAAGATTAGTATAAATGCTATATATAGACGTACCTGTCAGATTTCAACTCATCGACTGTTGTTCACTGCATTGCAGACGCCCCATACTACCGCGAATACAGATTCGTCGATTCGCCGAAATGTCTCTATGTGAATCATTCTTAAACACTGACTCTGGACCTTTCGAGCTCTTATGTGACATGTGCTCTAGACGGGAGAACCATACCTCCCTTTTACGCAGGAGCCCGTCAACATATTCGCGTATCTAACATTAAAGCTTCTCTTCATCTTAAAATGATATAACTTGGGTTTCAGCGTGATTTCTGCCAGGTTAACACGTTCGTTGACTTTCACCTCTCCGCCCTCTTCTTCCTTGTTTCTCATTCGCCAGTTGCTCCCCGCTTATGCGCTTTCCTGGGTCTCGATGTCTCTCGTATAGTATATGCATATTACGCCTTCTCTATGGATGAACGGGCTCAGCTTTTCTAAACTCTGTAGCATTGAAATAGATCTTATGTTTCAGGTAGGCCAAGAAAAGACAAGACCTTTCTCAATTATTGCATATAATCCCTGAACAAAAGTAAGTTTCTTCGTATTATTTTAAATGGTTATATTTGGCGATAAAATTATAGAGATTAATATATATACTATGCTTTTATTAATCATAAAACACGTGAGTCATATCGTATCCTTTTGAGGAGGGTCTTTAAAGTCCTAGGAGATATTAGAAGGAAAGACGTCCAATAGAGTTACCAGGATCATGGTTCTGATACTGCTAAGGGGAACCGCGCTATCACGTAGATATATATAAAAAACCGGGCGCTAGCTATATATATGTAAATAATGTACATTACACATATATAATGATTGATGAATAATAGGGCTTCACTACCCGCTCGTCCAGTTTCTTCCATTGACATTCACCCGGTCTTTGTGCCCACCAGTCCTATGCATAGGAATCCCTGCTTAGAAACGGTGGTTATCTTGCAATTGATACATATTCTCTTCGTTGAGAATGGCTTTGAATGGTTTATGGATATTGGTGAACGGCGGAATTGATGGCTTATATGGTCGCTCTGATGAGCGATAAGCAAGGTTGAGTCCAGTTTGTGTGATAGCATTGCAAGGAGATACCTTTCAAGTGTCGGGGCGTTTTCTCTGCCGTTTCCCTAGGCACCAATATGATCAGGTCTGTGAGCACTATCGGATAAACCGGTACATCACTTGACTTAATATATATGGTAGAATCGTACATCTGATCGCACGATAGAAGACACTAAGCCCCATCTACCACTATACCACCCCAGAACAGGAGGATATAAGGACGCTCACTGCCCAACATATATTTTGTTCCCCGTCATCAATTCATATATTGCTACTTAGATACCACCCTTGGTAAAGCTTTACAGTTCGATACTACGACAAACCATCCAACGATCTTGGAAGCTTGCTTAGAAATTCCAACCTCAAGTGACTGACCCGATCGGCGCTCAACTGGATAGTCAACCCTACAAGCATCGTACATACCCGAGTCCGTATACGGCCCAATTAGCATTGGTACGGTTATGGACACACTTGGGCTCGCAGTAGCGTTGTTAGAGAAGTATCACCTTTGTGGAAATTACTCACCTTGGCCAGTCAGCAGTTCGGGGCATTGAATGATAAGACAAAACTCCCTTTTGTAACTTAGTGCGCTTTTTTGAGAGAATGGCCAAACATAATCAACAAAAAATCGGCAAGACCTGTAATCAAGCTTGTATCTAAGTACTTCTATACACATCTTGAATTAAGTAGAAAGATGCTCTCTCAAAGGTCCACCATCACGCCGGAATGCCGGAAATAGACCCGGGCACTAGGTTCTCTTGCGCCAACCACGCTAATGCGCCAGTCAAGAAAAAATTAAATCCATGGTCGAGGTCTTCTTAACGAAGCCTTCTACATCCGCGGCGCGGGCTAGGAAAGCGGCGACCTCGGCGAGGAGCTCATCACGAAGCTTCGGGAATGCATAGGATCTAATCCTACGTAGTGGGAACTCGATAACTCTACGAAACCTGACTCGGATTGGCTTGAGTGGTCCGCTACAGGATACACGACGATTGGGCAGATAGATAACTGCTTTGGGCATATAGCGAGGGTGTCTGGTGGTCCGACAGAAGAAAGCTAGACACCCCGGTCAAACTGCGAAAATCCGAGCCACGAACGTCATTTGCGGCACTGATTCTCTTCCCAAAGCAACCACGGAGAAGACCCGGACGTCCCCCCACCAGCATAAACTCATTGGTGAATGGTGGTGGTGGTCTGGATGCTATCTGGGCCATGGATTCATTCTCCTGTGCAGCGAAGAAACAGGGAAGAAAGTGTTGAGTTTCGCTGATTTTCCTGATCGTGTTGCTTGCGCTGACAAAACTGCAGACGAAACAAATCCTTTAAGCTGGAAACTTTTATTTTGTATCTTCCGTACAACTTCCAGCGTACCCTGGCCTGTTGCAGCAAGGTCGACGACGTTGTGGATATACTACTGACGGGTGGCAAATTCCCTGTACAGGTCAGCAAGGAGGAATTCCAGCAGTGGATCAAAGACGCCAGTTCTACCAACCAGAAGAGCGAATTTATCATTCACTGACAGGCCTGGAGCACCGATGCGGTGGCGAGTAAGGCCTCGGATTTCCTCTGCTCGTTTAAGCACCGATTTTGACCGTCCTGAGCTTGGCAAATTTTGAGTACTGAAGCGGCGACCCGGGGAAGCAAGTGGATAGACCGTGTCCAGGAAGGGGCTACTTACGACCACGATCGTTTGATGATCCATCACTATATCAGATACAGCCCTCACGTCACGGCCGATACAGCAACCATATACCTACACATATCGTAAGGGGAATTTCTCCTTTATGGTATTTTCTCCCTTGATCCACACAGCAACAGCAGGGGCACGCACAAGGGGCCAATCAGGGGGCGAAGAAATACCCTGGATCCCCCAGTGTGCTCGGACAAGGGTCTAGGGTACAGGGCCTCCGAATAAAAAGAATGAACAGTAGCAGCAATCAAATCCAGCTGACTCTAACTTCTAGCTTGCCGTGCTGTCCTGTAATCAACCCAGATGTTGATTGTAAGGTTGCAGGTTTGAATTCGGCAGTCCCGTTCGCGATCTCCTTGTCAGAGGTTCGGCCATGGTCCCATAGAGACGCGCTAATAGTGAGGCTCGCATCCATTGGTACGGCAAGGGCTGATCTCAACAGAGGGACACGGCTATTCGGGTGTACAACCACGTGGTCGTGACTTTCTCTTCTGAATATCCTGATCCTCTTATCTGGAAACGAGAAGGCCTGGGCGTCGATTTCGCCGTAGACATCAGCTGGGTCTTCTCCGTCCCTATCAACCAAAAGGATATCCACCAAGGCCTCTATAGCATTGCTCATGACGACGTAATTGAGCGCCGCTGAGCCAAAAGGGCCGTTGATGGTGTCTGTTCGAAACTCGTTGTATTTGTTCGCCTGGTTGTTAGCATTCCATGCGATCCGGTTGTTGGCGACCTCGTCATCCGCAGATGGAGCGTCCCTGTTCCTGAGATTGAAGTCGAGGTTGAAATGGTCGATAGCTGATAGAGTGCGAGATGGGCCAGTCAGGGTGACATGTTGTCCAGGCTCAATGGATTCGTGATCTTTTCTGTCTCGGCTATAGATATAATCGATCTGTAGCCCGTTGGCTGCGATTATGGCGCCGTAGACCTTACCCGGACACCCGCCATTGATCTTCAAGATCCGCATGTCGAAGAATTCGACCAATTGTCGGCCGTTCTGGGTTGCAGCCTTCCAGATGGCGGCCTCCACATTGTTGGGTACAGTCTTATAGAGCGCCATACCAAGTGCCCTGATTACCTGTTGTATAGTTTCTATTTTCAACTTCTTGGCCGTTTCATCACTGAGATGTAGCTTTTCGCCAGGGTACTGAAGCGCAAGAGAAAGAGGGTCCCAATCGTTCTCAAGAAATTCAAACCGCCCAAGCAATTCAGACTGCTTGGTTGGGTCGATAGATGGTGCATAGTATTTGCATATGCCGATGCGTATCTCTGTAAACCTCAACGACTCGGAGATCATCTCTATGATGATGATTAATGCAGCCGCCTTATGGTCGAGGCTCGGAGGATTTTTCGCAAGTGTTTGCACGGCTCCCAAGAGATTGTTCCAGCCGAGCTGAATCTTGGTTCTTTCTTGTGCCAACTTGGTCAAAGCACCGTAGCCACTCCCAAATCCCAGGTTTTTACACTTAGGAACCAATCCATACGTGTCTTTGAATCCATTCCACTGTCCACGCCCGTCCTGATAGGCAATCAGTTAGAGGTTTTCTCGTCTGAACCTCAACTTCAATGAGCTAGCGTTTGTCTTCAGTACCACATCAAAAAAACGGGTGGGTATAACGTTTTCAGCGGGTTGAGGAGGAAGGAGTGGAACACCACGTGAGGATTTGTTACCATCCCGGGTCTGGAAACTCAATTGACCGATGAAAAGTGCGTACCCATCCCTGTCTGGAATGTCCCCAACGTCGAATTCTTGGATAAATTCCGGTTTGGCCATGATGATTGTGTAAAATGATGATGATGATGATGATATTAGCGACTGATTTGCAAGGACATGAACATGAACATGGCAGTTAGCTTTATAGAAACACTCTGCACCCTTGTGGGTCCAATTTCACGTCTCGCATCCTGGTATTTCTTTTCACCATCGCTTGGCCGGGGCGGTCAGCGCCCCAGTAATACTAGTAGAACATGAGGTTATGCTTCCGCGTCCATTGTTTAGGAGACTGAAAAAAAAAGCCACGTCAGAGTGATATGTGTAACGGGAACAAGTACGGCTGTGCCATGATGTAAGTGGCAAGCTGCCGAAACAGAAGGACCTGAAGTGGGAAGGGGAAGAAAGCAGACTGCTCGAAGACTGAGTTATTTTGAAGGATACTGACTTGATACGTGATATGAAATAATATATCTTCCCATTTGCCTTGCCTTTGGAGAAGTGATGAGTACCACACCATTACCATCCAGATGTGATAATAACTACATACTTCTTGGACAGGGGCGAGGAGAAAAGAGGGGTCTCATGTATGTAGATCTGCCACTGTCGTTCTACACTGCATCCTAAATAGCCCAATTAGACTGATTTACCCACGTCGGTCAAATAGAGTGGATCCCGGGAATCCATACGTGCATACTGGGCGTTCTCTTCATGGCTGCATTGCTACCTAAGGAGACGTATGGTAGATCTGCACGCCGAGATCTGTCGGATGAACTACTCCATTTGATTTATTTATACCTACACAAGTAGATACTTGTATGAGGCAGTTTCATGACCGTTCGGTATTGTCAGTAATCTGAGGCGAACGCGTGTTGCTGTTGGTTGTTTAGATATTCAGATGCCCCGCCAACACGGAACTCGTTCGGCTGAAGTACCTACAATCACGGTTCTCGAGACGAGGCAATTTCTGACGTCGATGAATTGTTTCCTATCCTGCAGGAGAGAAGTGGAGATCGATAGTCGGGGAAGGGTCGAGGCAACCAGATCGCCGGCCCCACGAATTTGATATGTAATGGTAATACGAAGTAAGAACAGTAAAAACGGTAATGTGGCTACTTCACAGTGACACTGTTGATGCGTTTTCCTCATCGCCATCGCAATAATCAAAGAGATGGCCGTTCCACCAGCGTCGACTTTCGCCACAGATGAACGGTTTTATATTCATCTGAGCTCCGAAAAAAACAAGAAAGACCCCTATCTCGAAGTTGACGATGGCACCAACAGCGGGACTTTCATCTCGAAGCTCCCTGACAAGACCATCATCACCACGAGCCCGCCAGTTCCAACTGCAGCAACCGAGCTCCACGACGAGGACAAGTGGGTAGAATGGCTCAAGCAGATCGATGATGCAGCCAAGTATACCTTGACAATCAAGCCACAGAAAGAGAAGGAGGGAGAAGAGAGCGGGAAAGGGGGGGGAAGACAACAAGAAAACGGAACTCAAACAATTCGATTTTGCATTCAACACGCCAACCAAACTGAAGTTCAGCTCCGAGAGCCCGGTGTTGAACAAGACATTTGGCGATGCTGCCAAGAACATCGGAGAGCCCGGCTTTAATGATCCAAGGCTGTACCTGGGATTGAAGGAGTCAGACCAAATGGAGATTTCGCTAGTCAAAGCCTGGACATGGACTGGTCAAGAGGAGAATTCGATTCCCGATATCTTAAAGGGGCTGCAAGTGACACCGGATTCCAAACTAGCACCGGGCCATCGCAACGCGCTGTGGTTTAACCCCGAAGCATCCTCGCGAGTGACAGTCCGGTTGGTGTTCAACCTCGGCGACTTAGGCACGTTGAACAGTCTTGGCCTCGGTGGCTTGAACATCAGTTTTACCAAAGCCGACCTTGTGTGTCGGAAGGTCGTGAGTGCTGGGGAAGCAGAGGGAAAAACGGTGCCCGTGACGCATGGGGACGCAGAAATCTCGATTGATTGTAAATTCGGTCAAGACTTGGAGCTGCAAGGCATCATGGAGTTCACGGAAGATATCATCAGCATGACTCTTCTAGCCAAGTCCGAGAATCCCATCCCAAGAGTCTTGCGCTGGTTGACAGGCGTCCTTGGTTTAAAGGAGGATGATCTAGGGACACTCCCGAAACTTTTCAGTCAGGATCCATTCAAAGATGTCCGGTTCCGTCGTATTAATATTGTCGTCGACAAGAAAGAGATTAAGCCGGTATCTTTCCAACTGGATGTGCAGGTGTCAGCACCCATTGGGCAGGATCCTGCATCGGGGAACAAGACGCTTTTCCTACTTTCGTACACCTACATCTCTTCCATCGGTGGACTGGGTACACTACGCGGCCAAAAGTCTGGGTACACTCTATAATTCAGATTTACCCCACCATATTAAAAACTGAATAACTCCCCCAATATTAATTAATATAAATTTATACTAACTATACAAAGAAAATAGGTCAGTATCTAGTATACCAACCCTTCGCTGCGCGTACAGCAGCCATTTTGCGAGGCACAGATCGAATTAAGCTATCAATAACGTTTTGATCAAGCAGTTCCCATGCTTCGCATATAGCTTTTTTAAAGACCTCCCAATCCAATTTAGACCTTCCATCACCTATCTGAGGGTATAATTGAAGAATTTTGATCTTCAGAAGTCGCCATACTGGTTCGATAGGGTTAAGGTCAGGCGAATGCGGAGGCCAGTCGATCACCTAAATCCTATGGTTTTCGAACCACTTTTGCGAGATTTCTGCCACATGAATCCTCGCATTATCTTGTTGGAATATCGAGCATGGTTCATATATTGGTAAAAGACCTTCTTCGAGAGTATCGAGATAGGAGTTCGCAGTATAACCTTGCCGAGGTGCGTTTTCATCGCGATTCATGATCATCATTTTTGTTCGGCCACCAATCCAGATTCCAGCCCAAATCATCTGCGAAATATCCTTGCCATGACTCACGAGGTTCACAAGATCGCTTCGGTAGGCCTCGGAGGTAAATCGAAAGACGAATTGGACCTTAGAATTCGATGTTCGTTGGACTGAACATTCGTCAGAAAAGATCAGATTCTCCCAATCCGAAAAACTCGCCCATTCACGTACAAAAGCGCGTCTTTTTTGTGCAACCGACTTTGATAAAGGTATTCGCTTCTTACTCTTCCATTTTCGAAGCCCGTAGCCTTTTAAAACGCGTCGAATTGTTGATCGAGAGGGTGAATAGGGAGTATTCGCTCCAAGGGCTCTATAACTCATTCGCGGGTTCCGACGGGCCATCCGATAGATATATCGAATAGTCTGATCGCTAATCTTAGAAGGTCTACCACTTCTAGGCGATGATTTAAGAGTATGGTGTTGCTGAAAGCGATCGCGAGTCCGGTAAATTGTAGTGCGGCTAAGATTTAAATCGCGAGCGATTTTAGTAGGACTTGAGCCATTTTTGAGAGCAAAAATAATCGCTGCGCGAGTAGATTCTGATAATTCATTGTTTTGCCTGCGATTTGCACTAATTTCCAGTGCCAAAATATCGCATATTCGTTGTGGTAGAGAGAAAAGAAAAAAGGGGTTAGAATATGGATTTTACTAAAGTGGGGTGCTGTACCCAGACTTTTGGACCCCGTTGTACTATCGGAGCTCCCACAAAGTTGTACTGAGTAAGTGCACGCTCTCTCAGATCGTTCATCTGAATTTTGTTTGAGTTCGGTTTCAGCATCGTTTAGGAGCGTTGATTTGGCTTGGAACAGTTGATCTGGAGCCAAATCCTTCTGACTGGGCTGCCAATCCGCCGACTAGCGTCCAGCATAGCTTAGTAACCACGATGGCTTCAAGTATTGCTTCAGCCCTTCACAGAATGATTTCTCTGCCCTTTCGATCAAAAACCCGCACTGATCCCCCGTCAACCTTCATGACGCCCCCTAGTGGGACCCTGCAACCAGTAAAGGGCCTTTTGGCATCGGTGCCTCGGTAAAGATCAACGTAGACATATCTGGTAATATAGCTTACTTCGACCGGTTCAAGTGTATGCGGCGGTAGGTCTTGGCAGCGTGCATGTTGTTCATACAACTGTCGACTGATATCAGTGAAAAGGGTCACAATATAATTGCTGAAGGCCTTACCGTCATCGTCAAGTTTGCAGCTCCACTGGTCGAAACCGAGGGCAGCCTTCCACCAGTAAAGGCCTTTCCGGGCTCAAGAGAAACTATTACCAAAATATGCCAGGATGACTTGTTGAAAAGGAATATCCAAGGCTCAACTTCTTGAAGCCATCGACGAAAACGACCCTACAAGTCATATGGTCAGTTCTAGGTTTCAGTTTGCGGTAGTTTATTATAAAATTAATACATATTTCTTTTTAGCTGTCCGTTCAGGGTTGCCCCCGACATCCGGTTCTTCGTAATCGCCCAGTTTCATGCCCTTCTCGCAAAGCTGAAGTAGTTGTGTAGCCTTAGGACTTGCAGTGGAGATTTTCGCCTTTGTTGCCTTCGGCACCTTCTCCTTGGCTACGACCCGGTCTTCTACCCGGCCATTCTTATTTCCTGGAATAGAAGATTGGCTAAAATGGGTGCTGGGAGCCTCTGAAGATCCTAGAGGGGCCCCCATTTGGGATGTTTCCCAGTGAGAAGGTTATCGTTGATTCTGTTGTACTACCGTGGGTTATGTGTTGCTTCCAATGAATCAGCATTCCCAGTATTAACGGGTAATAGTGCACGGTGTCTGGAAAAGAAAATAGACAGGTGATTGTCCTTGGTACTTCAGAGGTGGTGGTTTTATATTGCTTTGTGGAGAGTACTCTGATTTACCTTCTCCTGGAATGATGCGTGCACCAAGGGGGAAGTAGTGATGTAAATGTGATGTGAGCATAGTTTAACTGCGATGTCATCTGACGGTTTGTATAACCATCATTGATTTTTTTCAACCAATCTAACTGGTCCGCCACTCTCAGGATGCACCTGGAGGTGGGCGAAATCGATTCTCCCGATTCTCCGGTCTCATGCCTGGGGGTAACACTGGACACAGTCAACAACACGTGTTGCTTCGAGAATAACGCCACCTCCTTGGAAGTTATATCCTTATGACCCTATTCAGGATGACCTTTTGGTTTCGGGTGAGTAAAGTTTTATTTCTCCCGGATCTGCATGTGCGGTATTCCATCTAAGTCACTTTGTACGATATTCATCACTTGCTTAGTGAGAAAATGCCGAAGGTTGAACGATATTAACATAAGCCGTAAGCGAGCGGATCGGTCCAAAGCACCATAATAAAGGCGATATTTTTGCACCTCGATAACTCAATAACTATTACTGGGTTTACGTTCAAATTAGATGTATAGACTATTCCGATCATAAGAAATAACTTATTTTAATCTTGAAATAAGCAAATCGCTTTTAACATATTACCAAGAATACAGGCATATGTCTGACGTATCACTTGAACTGATTGTCTGCTCGGACGCAGATTAACTGCGTGGTTCACAAGATGTACTTTGGGTTTCTAACGCACTGAAAGAGATTTTACAACATCGAAAATATTGAACTTCTAACCTTTCTTGGTGTTTGAGAGGCCAAGGTGTTCACGAATACTTCTTAACACCCTTAATCGGTTTTTCTCGCCCTCTTGCAGTAGCTGGAGATGCTCAACCTTGAATCTTTTGAATTCATTCTCCAATTTGTGATGCCAGGGATACAGGACACAAACTTGGAAGCAAAAAGCCGAGCTTGCGATCACGAAGTTCGTAAGAGAAAACCTGCGAGTTATAATCATTGTGCTCGCCTGAAAGCGGAGCCTTGGAAGATAACGTCGGTTGTGTTGGCTGCAACTTATTAGTAGATGCTGACAGAAAGAAAGCCTCATGATTCTGCGACAAAATACCAAGGAGCTTGATGGGGGAAAATAGTATTAAATCTTGGATCTAAAAAATGTTTCCACGGAAAGGATGGAGAGACGTATCGCAAGATCTCAACTTGATATGAGAATTTAAAACAGAAAAAACTTTAAACCCAGAAATATAGTAGTAAAGGTTGGCTAGTCACATGCGCCCAATTCGGGGAGATTCGGTATTTCGTGTTGAACTAATTTATGGAGGCATTCTGGCCTTCCCGACCATCAATCGTGCTAACGGACTGTCGATGATCTTAATGATTTCTTGTTTGTTTGAAGTTGACTATTGGTGGATATTATTTACAGCATAGTCACATTGCCAAAAGTCAGCCCCTTCCACTTTTTATCCTTCCTAGCTAAGATTCAAGAGTTACTGAAAAACAACGGAGCCCAGTAGGCATTGTCCTTTTCAGTTCTCGTACGAAGTAATGCATAGGCGCAGGGTTTCTTGCAAGCAAGTTCGTGCTACAGTGAACCGTAGGGCATCTTGTCTGAACTCTATTCCACCCAAGGAACTAGCTTTCGGCCGAAGCGGTCATTTCTCGGAATCGACAGTCGGCTCCGGCTGCTGTTCAACCAATCACTTAATCGTCTTTGAATTTTTCTTTTGGAACAGCGTTCATATATGCACGTAGTCCAAAGTATTTTCTATACCCGTATACGATCGGCAAAGGGGCCTAACTCGCTGTTCAGTATTTGAATTTTCATGACTGACACACTCGGATTGACACTCCAACAATTTTTCTCAGTCTATCATTAATGCTTTGCCAGCGAAATCTCGGTGCAAGTTGGCACAATACCTCTTTGTTCCTCACAATACGACCTCTCCGAGTAAGAGCATTTCACAACACCACTGCTCTCCCTTTTGGGCGTTCCATCATGAGCGAAAAGCGGCTCAAGAGGGCGGCGACCGAACCTCTTGAGGCAAACTATATACCCAGCCTTCAACAGGCACCAAGGCAGGTTCTGTGGATTGGATGCTCTGATAGCGATTCCAAAGACTCAACTGTGCTTAATCTTCTTGATGACGAGTTGCTCGTGCTCAGAAACATCGGCGGTATGATCATTGATGGCGACCTGTCCTGCGAGACTACGATAAAACATGCCGTCGTTGACCTTCAGGTAGCCCTTGATCCTGAACAGCTTCCCGATTCGCTCATATTAACGTTGTCTAGGTGAAACACATCGTCGTTTGCGGGCATTACGGATGTCGTATTGTGAAAGCAGCTTCGAGAGAAGGGCTGCAGGGTCCTTGGTTGAGGTAAATGAGCCCTTGCTGTCTAAGAATCTGTGAAGTCACTGATAATGGTTATGTAGCAAGCTCAGTGCCCTCCATTCGGCGCACGAAGAGGATATCAATCAACTTCCAGCGTTGGAACGGGATCGCTCTTTTGTTGAGCTGAATATTCTTGATCAACTGCGTTCGCTACGCAAATTTCCCGAAGTGACCGATGCAATTAGGCTGGGCCGTTTACATATCCATGGACTGGTGTACGATTCTGAGACCGATAAGGCTTATAGATTATCGGAAGGGCAGCAGAACCATTAGAATAGGACGGAAATTCTTTAATTCTGCATGATTTATTACAATTACAGGTAGATTTGGCTCCTCCATGTGAGTCCCAAGTATCTGTCTGAAGTCGACCGGAACCAATCTCGCAAGTTGCTACCATTTTACCGCCAATTTCGATGTTTTCTTTTGAAGTACATATCACAGGTTTATTTAAGATGTTACATTTGTAATTTTAAGTCGTGACTGGCATTTGAATATGATTTTGATCATTCACGATTGGGACTCGACGACAGACAATATATTTTCTTCACATCCTCTAGCATACCTTCAAAATCGATGTTAAGATCTTTCAGTAGGCCGTCGCCTAGATCAAAAACCCATCCATGAACGATGGGATACTGATGATCTTGGTAGCTTTGTTGGACAGCAGCGGTCTTGATAATATTCCTGCAGGATTCCATCACATTGAGTTCAATCAATCGATTGTATCTCGAGCTCTCATCGGTTATTCCGTCGAGTTCCTTCTCATGCAAGCGATAAACGTCGCGGATGTTTCGGAGCCATGGGTTAAGTAATCCCAAGTCAGCCGGTGTCAACGCCGCTTTAACCCCTCCACAATTGTAGTGGCCGCACACAATGATGTGCTTGACTTGCAAGTGCCGCACAGCATAGTTAATCACGGACATCACGTTAAGGTCGACATTGGGTACTAGATTGGCGATATTGCGGTGAACGAAGACCTCGCCAGCCTCCAGACCCATAATTTCGTTGGCGGGGACACGGCTATCGCTACAACCTATATATCTAATTACCATCAGACGAATTCAAGGGTGAGTATTTTGATGATGAGAATGAAGCCATGGGTATGTTGCTCACAGATAATTGGGTGATTGCCCAGCAGCAAGCTTCTCAAAAAAGGCGGGGTCTGCGCCCTTCTTCGACAAGGCCCATTGTTTGTTGTTTTTGAATATATGTTCGAGCGACTGCTGGAGATATCGTTTCATGTTGTTTTGAAGGTCAACCCGTAACGATGTACGAGGGCTTGGCAAGCGTGAATCGTGATTGAGATTTTGTTCGTCACACTTGCGGGAGAGCAGGAGGCAATTATTTTTGAAGGGGGTATATTAGGGCCGTGTCTACGTAAGCACGTCGCGCCCACTTCATCATCTTAGAAGTTGTATTATCATCACGTGAACATCCCCACCGCCGAAGACATGTGAAACATTTGGAAAACCCCATGGCGCGTACGTGAAATTGGCTAGGTCGCTTTGCTATGCTAGCCCTGATATTACACATCAGTCTGATAGCCGATCAGGCATAAGGTCTACCTCCTACGACGCAACATCAAAACAAAACGACCAAGCGACAAACTCGACCACAAGAAACTGGCACCATTCACGATTGACGAAAAGAAAGGACCAGTCAATTAGCAACTGAGACTACCTGAGAGTATGGGCAGAGTTCATCCTATATTTCATGTGTCATTGCTTGAACCCGCACCCAAGGACGCCGAACTCGCTACCAATGCGGAAATCGAAGAAACCGAAGACGAATATGAGGTCGAAACGATTGTTAACGGCCGCTGGTACAATGGTCAACAACAACTCTTGGTGAAATGGAAAGGGTACTCTACCTCAGAGAACACATGGGAACCTATCGCGCACTTGAGGGGCTGCCACCAGCTGGTCCAACAGTATTACCACGAGGCGAAGAGGACTCCGGAAAAAAGGAAGCAAAGGAAGCGTAGAAAGCAACAGCTTCCCAGAAAGACGATGAATCGGCCATCGCTATCATCTGCGTCAAAGTAGGATCCTCTGACGTAGCGGCAAGAGGTTGATTGCCATCTTCGGCGGACGACGATGTCGCACGAGAATCTCGCGACACGCCGCATTCCACGACACTCTTTTCCGAAGCACCATTTGATTGTCGAGCCTGCTCCGAAGCAGCAGCATCCACACGTTCTTTTTCCATTCGCTCCAGCTCTTCAGCTTCACGACGCTCGACTTCCTCCAATTCCGCAATCTCCTTATAACCACGAGCAATGAAATTACTAGCACGTTTTTGCAACAAACGCTTTTGTTTCTGGAGACGAAGCAGTTTCAAGAGCCCAGCCTCCTCTTCCTCCAGCGAATTTTGAGACTAATCGCCACCATTCGGCATCAGAAAAAGTCGGGTTCGACATCGTGTACTTGGCACCACCACCCGCCTTTACACAACCAGAACAGCGATCGGAACAGTCGGATTGTACGCACGCTCGTTTAAGTCGAACACAACGGTCGCAGGGGACAAACGACCGATAACCTTCCTCCTCGATGCGAGCACTAAGTTGACTCTTGCGGACCGAGGACTTGGAAGACATAATCAGAAAAGACTCGAAATATGAAAGGGAAAGGGACGCCCGCCCAGAGGTACCTACTATTTATGTTTCCGAGGAAGAAAACACAGAAAGGAGGGGATGATGTTACGGATCTCTTAGAACAACCCCACTCCTGAGCACACCAGAAATACAACGAGGCCCTATCTAGTACACCGCCCCAGGAGCGATGGGGTAAGATGACCTCAAGAAGATTGTCATAGGACATGACACGGCCATCACGTGACATGCCAGATCAGTGATCGATACGAACATACCATGATCACGTGCAGAAGGGAAAACCGTGGTGTTTCCGCCAACACCTCCTGATACGGAATAACACAAGGGAACAGCGGACTACGAGGCCAATGAGCGCACGACAAGCACAGACGTGGGACCCAGACCATCGTAGGATGGGAGACATCCCAGGAAGAAGAATCTCCTACAAAAGGGACCATCACGAGAAATCACGTGAAAGGACTCGTCGGTGATGAGAAGGAATAGGTATATAAGGACGCTCTTTCACATATGTATTTAGTTTTTCGTGATCAATTGCACATTGTTACTTGGATACCACCTTTGGTCTTATTCACAGTTCACCGTGACAACCATCCTACGAGTAAGGGAGCTACTTCGGTACTGACCTATTCGGCGCACACTCAACTGGCACATCTTCGCAAGCACCCATCAGGATCTATCTGTATAAGGCCTGGCGTGGCATCAGTATGGTTGAGGGTAGGCTTGAGGCTCGCAGTTACAAAGAGAAGTATCACCTTTGAGGACCAACTCACAGTGACCAGTTAGGTACCGTAACACTGAGCTAGTAAAAAGTTAATATATTAAGACAGACTTACTAATACCCTTATCTTAATAGTCCTAGTTATAATAGCCTTTATAGCGGCGGTTAGCTTACAGAGTTATACCTAAGTAGCCCTTTACGTGAGTCCGTAGGTTACTGGTGTTCGAGAAAGCGATCTTAAACAAAATATTAATCTCTTCTACTTAGAGTAGTTAGGAATATAGCAAAAAAGCTTTCTACCATAGAGAATAATATTACCTTTTTTATCCTATATAAAAATAATATATTAGAAATATATAAAAAATAGATAAAAAATAGATAGGTGGGTCGAGTAGGCAGGTACTAAGTTGATTTTAGTGTGGTAATACAAAGATGTAATTTTTAATGAATTATAACTAGCCAATCATAATACGTTTACACAAGCTAATTCCACACTTCCAACTATGGACCCAACACCAACCCAACCCAACATCTGATCTGGGTTCAGGGATTCCGGGTAACTTATTTGGGCGGATTGTCAGCTGAGAGTGGGATTCTGTGTCTTTTGATAGTTAAAATAATTTGAAAATGATCCTCTCACCACCTTTCTATTCTACCAATAGGTGTGCGATTGAATCCTAGCGAGGATTGACGACTAGTGGGACGCTTGATTTACAAGAATCAAGGCTCACAAGGAGAAGGATAAGTAGAACCACAGCCCCACCGACTCGAACACTCAGGGACTCGCTCCCCCCTGGATCCCAATGATGATGAACGTCTTCTGTTTGCTCCTTATTATCGGGCTGGCCTTTCTGCAAGGAGCGCTGTCAGAACCAGAATGGAACGATGTCGATGGGATCGACCGGATTAGCGCCGCGAGGCGCCTCCAATGGCCCGACGACTGCAACCCCTCCTATTGCACCGATTTTGAAATGGACGAGACGCTCCAGGAAGCCGCTCTGCTCACGTATAATGCGAGACGAGCTATCGACGTTATCCTCGGCACTAAAACGGACAAAGTAGTCGCCAAAAACTCGAGGAACGAGCGATTCCTACAAGCAGCAAAAGCACTATTTCATATTGATTATGGGGATGCGCCGGACAATCCGAAGATGTGGGCTGTTGCCCAGGACAAGCGCTTTATTCTGTTCTATGTGAAAGGTCTTCCCTTCTCTCCCCAGAAGTACTACTCCCTTACCAACCCATATGTCTCTAGAATTCTTTGACCGGGTCTACCAGTTCCTGAAGCAGGGGGGTGTTTATAAGCCTAAGATGCTCTGCGGTGACGAGGACATCAAATTCGTGACTAAGATGAAGGAAATTGGAGGAAGGCCTCCTGATGAACCAATTTGGAAGGCAAAGAATGAAGATAGTAGGTCGATCAGAATCCCCCCCCCCCCCCCCCCCTTTTTTTGTGGAATTTCGAAAGCACTAACAATGGGCCTTCTACAGAGAAAACCACTCCGGGGTGGTATATCTCCAACTTTTACTCCCCAAAGGATAAAGAGGGCAACCGCATCGAAGATAGAGTGGTCCGTATTCACACCGACAGGCCTATCTGCAGACGCCGCCCTAGTAGTGATGGAATGGTCGTTGAAGGCCAGACTTTTCGCGACGTCCGAGTGATCGTCCTCTGTAATCATATCTTTGGCTATAAGGAGCTTGAAAAATTGATAAGGGACCAAAAGAGACTTGCAGTGGGCACGTCTCTAGACACCCAGGACACACGGGGGGCAGTATGGCTCCATGAATATTTGCATTATATTTCTCCTGAAAGTAAGTTCCTGTTTTCCTGCCGAGGAATGGGTGGAAAGAGAGAACCAAAGGAGTCTAATCCAGAAACCATGCAGTGACGGATCAGGAAATCGACGTTGGGACAGGCAAGCAGAGAGCGTATGATGTAGACCTCTGCATGGCCTTGGCCCGCAAGAGTGCGTCAGCAAAAGAAGCCAGAGATAATCCCGAAAATTACGTCAAGTTAGCGACAGCCGTCAGTCTAAGGAGGGTAAAATGGTTTCCTAGTGGGAAGAAGGCGAATTAAACCGAGGCAGAAGATTTGCGTGATAGTCGGTGAGCCTAAAGTCTGTTCTTGGTGATGTTCCTAGGTTTGCTATCCATGATTATTACACACGGGGTTTACCTACGTTATTCAATTTTGCTAGCCACGATGGCTGAGCCTGTATAGTCAATCGTTGGCTGCCTCTTAGGCTAAAATCAGTCCATAACCCCGAAACAATACCGTGAGACGATAAATTTACCAGCGCATAATAAGCGTTCTTCATTTTTATTGCCATGAAATAAGAAATGAAATAATATGAACTTCCAAAACAAGAAATTCTTAATCCAGTAAGAAATAGCGAAGAGCCTCTGATAGTTCAAGATGGGTACTGGAAATCAGTCGATATTCATGTTTCGAGAGGGCGGTTAAGCCATTTTCAGATCGACAGAAATTACTGATTAGTTATTGAGAAAATTGACAGAAACATTCAGGCTAAGAAAGGTCACGCACACACCAGGGGAACCAGGGTATTTTATTGGAGGTTTATGGCAGCAAAGCGACATTAGCTGTATACGGAAGATCAATCCTGACCATGTATGCCGCTCATTTTCTTATTGACCATCAATAGCAGCTGGAAAATAAAGCAATCTTCCAATCATACAGTCTTCCAAAGACGAAATGTATTTGCCAATGCCTGCTGAGAATTTGCCAAAAAATCGTTTCAACCAGCCTGCAATTCCAGAGCAATGACCTTTTACGACGGAAGATGCGGTTTTGCCGTAAGACAAACCGCAGAACCAGGGGGTGAAATTTATGTAAATCGCAACCTACCAACCAAGCACTTAATTCAATGGAGAATGATGAATGCCCGTAAGAATTTGAGGGATAGGAGAACCACAGCAGTATCCAATGTCATGAACCTAGACTATGCAATAAGGAATGAGCCGCTTCATTCAAGGCATCCATACTCGCATATTATCCTCGCCAGTACTTTTCAATGATACGCCCACCAAAAAGCTTGTCTGTCTTAGGAAGCGCTTGCGGTTTCGGCCAATGCAAATTCTCCGGTTAAAAAAAATAATACCTGTGAACCTGCCAGACAGCGACTGAGTAGATAATCCAACCAAGGTGAAGGATTTCGATCATCGCAGTCAAATCGATTCCGCATATGGTGTTCACATCGGCCGCGATTGATAGTAAGATGGACTGACCGAAGTCTGCAAGCTAGAGTTGATCTTCGACAACCAAAATATTGCGAAGAGCGATTTCGTCTAGGAACACTCTACGAGAGTGCACGTATGATAAAGTCTTTGTGAGATACAGTATCCAATCAATTTTGACAAGATCTGGCGGCTCCGGGTTGACCTCGATGTAACTCTCAAGATCGCCGTGTTTCGCAAATGCTAGCTCGATCCCATATTCGGAAGCACAGATGCAAGAGATGATTCCCTTGTGGTCACCCAGACGTTTGTAGATCTGTATTTCGTGTAGCTGCGGCCATAATTCATTGGTCGGAGGCCATCAGCGAGATAGACGGGAATTGTCATATGTTCCATAGAGCCTCCCGAGTACGAAACTCGCGTGATCCTGCAACTTGTGGATGCAGCGGCTTGAGTTGCAGGAGCTGGTTGGCGTCTTCTGCGCTGTGAACAAAGTGGATCCCCCCTCGCGGTCTATAAAGGAGACTACAATTCCACCCAAATGGCAAACTGCAACGCAGCCCTCTCAAAATCTTCTCCTTACCCCTTCCTACTGTGCCTTATACACTGCCTCCTGCCCGTAGTCCTGATCCCGATTTCTCGATTTCTACCTTGCTCAACTGCCTTTTCTTTGGTGCAATATGCCAAGTGATACGTTTCGCTTGGAGTCTTTTCGGCAGTGGAAACCTTTCCAGAACAAATCGCAGCCTCCGCGGGAATCTCTCGATGTTTGTCATTATCCAAGTCTTGTCTCGATCACCGCCACGTCTACTTCGTCAAATTCTCGTGGCTCACCGAGGTACCCAAATGTTCATTCTCATACGTCCGAGCGACACCCCTTCCTCCTCGACCGCCGGTGGAGGTTTGCTTGAACGACAGCCTACCACAGGAGATAAGCACCCAGCACCAACCCACTGTGGTGAATCAGACATCATGCTTGGACCTCGGAGTTGAGGCGCTCGACTTCGAGGATACTCCACACCTGCAGGATTTATCCAGCCCTGGAGATGAGGCCCATCCGCTGATCTGTGATAGCTTGGGCTAGGATCCTCAATACCCACTCAGCTTTGAATCGAGCGACTTAGGGCTCACCCGCACTGCCAGTCAGCACTCTCAGGTCAGCCATGCTGAAGGTTCTGTTTTGACTCGGGAGAGTTGCGACACAATGATTGATCCGGCAATTTTTGAATGTTTATCCTTTGCGAGATATTGAACAAACTCCGGCCAGCAGAGAGACCGTGGACGTGGTGGCCTATTCTCATTCGCCGGACAAGACCGTGCGTGGCCACAACCGCAGCACATGACCAAGATCGCAAAGGGCAATGAAGCCGGGGCGGCAGCGGTCCAAAATTAACAAGGTTTCTGTCGTGAACTATCAGCGCATGGAAAATGCCGGCCAGAGCACTCGAGAAAACCGCCCCGTTAAAATGCCTTTTTCTATTCTTCGGAATCAATTCACTTCTCTACCAATAGAAGAGCGACTACAGTTTTTGTTCTGGATGTTTGTGGGTGCGCTGTCACAATGCCTCCATATACCCTCCCGCTCCAATGATGTATCAAATCCGAATGATACCTCGAAAGAGGAAGGAGTCACGACTTTATCAGCTGAGCAACCAAGCGGAGAGACCAGAGTTGCCCATGGAAAAAATCTTTGTTTCTCAAGAAAAGTATTACCTTGATTGGCAGAAGAGAATCGCCTTCAGGTGCAACTTAGGGGGGAAGAATCTCTTGCCTGGTCGGGAGTGTTTAAGCGATTTGATCAGAGATTCCCGGGGAGGAGTCAAGATTCTATACAAGTATACTGGAGCACGACACTCAAGAAACAGCTGGCATCGTAGCGGAGGACGTGAAAAATGCCATCTTTATCAAGCCATGCCATCTCCCAGTACCTTTCAGTAATCCAATTAGTCGCCTTGGAGTTCTGGGAGTAGAAATTTATTCTCTAAACATTGGCCAAGGTGGAGTCCTTGACCGACACGTTTTGACCTTGGCAAGAATCACAGAGAGGCGCGACAAATATTTGCAACAAGCACGTTTTTCCCCGGTTTTTTATTGTGCTCTGGATCCACGTGCTCGTCTCAAGCCTTTGCTGTTCTTAGCCCACGCAGATGGGGTTTCTGCACGAAGGCTGCCTTGCCCTCAAAAGGAAAAGAAAAGTGCCGTTGGGAGTCTTAGAATTTGGAGATTTGAAACCAAAAAAAATCGATGAACAGCTCTCAAGCATAGGCGTGGTCAAGACACGATACTCCCATGAAATTGTATAGGCACTATCTAGACAGTGCCAGTCGCCAGCAAATAATCCACCATCAACCACAATAGTCTGCCCATTAAGGTACTGGTTCGACGTAGTAAAGAGAATGGCCCCGGCCATATCTTCGTCTTTGCCTGGGCGTCCAGCTGGAACTTTGCCTTCAAACTTCTCCTTGGGGATATTGCTCTTCTGTTTTTCATCACTACCCTCAGTGGTCATTTCTGATGGAAAGACACCTGGGGCAATATTATTGACACGGATCTTGAGATTGGATGTGACCAACTCGTGCGCAAGCATTTTAGTTAGATGCACAGCGGCCGCTTTGCTCGAGTTATACGCGAAATGATGCTGAGAGGACTTGACAAGACCAGAAATCGATGAGATATTCACGACGGTACTAGACCAACCGTGCTCCTCGACAGTTCTCTTGTTAAGCAATGGAAGGAACGCGGTCGTTGTGAAGAAGAGTTGCGTCACATTTGTCCGCATTACTTCTTCCCATTCTTCAACGGAGTCTTCATTTTTGAATAGCTCTTGTTGGAGCTGCTTGGGATCTTCCAGCTCTGTGTTCTGAGTCAAAGAGCTGATGCCAGCGTTGTTGATCAAGATGTGCAATTTGCTCTCCTTGGCCGAGATTTCATTCACTAATCGTTGGATAGACTGTTTTGAGGTGACATCGGCAGCAATGGGAATAATCTGTCCCGGGATTCCTTTGGAATACAGCTCCGCAACACGGTCAAGTTTCTCGCCGGTGCGACCCGTAATGTAGACTTTGGCACCATTCACAGCGAGTGCTTGGGTTGCCATTAAGCCAATCCCGGAACCGCCGCCGGTGACAAGACCAACTATAATTCATTAGCATTGTTCAAAAAGCATTTTTAAGCTAAATATCCCCTACCTCTCTTCCTGACGCTGAAGACATTCTCCAGCTTGAAGTTCTGGTTATGATTTTGCGCAGACATCTTTTGCAATGATGACGTTCAGGAAGAAAATGTTAATAATACTTCTTTTACTCAATAATTAGATTGCGTTATCGATTGGAAATTTGGCTTTTTTAAAATCTCAGCCAGGCCGCTTCCTACGTACCGGTGCTGCAGGTAACTAGGTTTGGCAGAAAGCTGGAATGAAGTTTGACATCATACTGATCGCAACGTGATATTGCGACTTTGTTGCGTTTCGTTTATCTGTGGCCCGAACTTGTTTCAAGATCCATGGGTTTCTGGCTTAGGAGAGTTTCAAAAGGTTAGCTAAGGCTCGAATCGATCGAACCAGGTGTTGGCAAGATCCTGAAAATTACAAACTCACCATAATGCAAGGCCACGGTTAAGCGGGGTAAAGAGGCTAGCTATTGTGTGACCATCTCATTATAAGAAAGGGGCCTGTCACTACCTCTATTCTTCATTTAGATTTGGGCATGCACCCACTATAGCCGAGTCCATGACTTTTGATTTGGGACCTAATGGGTTGTTTTGTCGTTTGGAATCGATTTATGGAGGCTGCTATGTTCGTTCTTCCTGGCAGCTTGGACGTCATTCTCTTTCAATTGTTGGACTCAGGATCCACAAGTCGATCCCACGGTACATACATATGGATAGTTTGGTTGATCTGGACGGGATGTGGAGCGAGCGATCGCCTGCTGAGCAAAGCGCGAAGTCTCTGCCAATCATATCCATAGTTCAAGAGCTGCCATCTGAGAGCAGCAATTCCGATATCGAAATGTCCATATCCAAACTGATGGCGTCAGGCATTCCCAGTCGTTCGAAATCCGGTTATTTCACCTTTTCTTGTTAACCTTGCTCTGTGTCGCACAATATATATAACTTACTATTTCTGACTCCTGTCGTGAGCAGCTCCCCCAGTACTTTTTCTGTAACACCGCAGAACCGGTAAATAAATATAGTTTGACCAATCAAATAGAATAAACCGCCAACTTCGAATCCCAATGGCGCTGCTGATTGGCAATTCCAATGCCAACTTCCTCAACCAAGACGCCCGTTCGTACGCCCGTTCTTCCCGGTCCGAATCCATTCTGGCTCAGTCCGGTCAATTGATCCCAGAGTGATAAAGATGCCTTAATAAAGATATTGCGCGAGCAAAGAACAAGAACCAGCATGGAGGTTGATAAAGGTTATAACGACACATGCCCCTTGTAGCCCCTCCGAAAGCCTCGCCCATCGTCCAAAGCTTATATTTCGCGCGACAGTGTCAGCCCAGAAGAGCTAATTACCTCGAACGGAAGCGTCTTGCCGCAAATAGATATCGGCTGAAGAAGAAGATTGCAAAAATACAAAGCATCATGAACGACGAAACGGCCAGGCGACAAATGCTCTTGGCCGAGATCAATATGTTCAAGAAAGAGTTGTGATATCTCAAAAACAGGATCCTTGCACACGCGAATTGCGACAATCAGCCGATCAACACGCAGCTTGAGTTAATGAGCCAAAACGTTCTTGGAACGAACCCAAATACACTGAACGGCCCATCCCCGGTAAACGTCATTATTCGGATATGTAAAAAGTAGTTCGTTACTAACTAGGCACAGCGTGATTGTCTGGTCAGGGCCAGCTAAACAAATGGATAACTATCCGTGCAGAACCCGTTGAATCTTCCAAGGCGCGTCCTAATGTCTATCCGGCAGGGAGCAAAATTCGGCATCAATTTCTGGTCTTACGAGGCAATGATGTCCACAGAAAGCCTCATTTTCATGCTACTTCTTTTATCGCGATGACCCAATGAAGATCGAGAAATAATTATCCAAACCAGCCACATCCTCCATGCCTCCTACCCATGCCACATGCTGATCCGGTCGACATAGTACTAGACACCCTGGGCCTTGCTTGTCAATACCGTATCCTGTGTATGCTTGATCCCGATCATCCGCAAACACCCTCCAGTAGTCCCATCCCATGAAGTCATCATACGGGTGAAAGAGCTCCGGAAGATCCAGCAGATTGACTGCACTCCTAGGGCATGACTGAATGAGGAGAAACTCAATGGTAGGGGCAGCGCCACCACTGAGACTGAATCTGCTGTAAGTGACCGAGATGAGAACGATTGCTGAAGGTTTCCGTGAAGCGAGTCAAACCGTGCATCGTCTCTGGTTGACGTAGATCGCCCGGAAAAACCAGTAGTCTCCACGCCCCGTCACTCACAAGCCTCTGAGCCAGTTGTACAGGGGCTCCATCACAGTGAAAAACAACAAGGAATGACGGTAACCGTGCGCCAAGCTTGATATTGCGCGCAAGGTTTGGGTCAACAGTCTCCTTTCCAGTCACCAAGATACTATCGGAATAGGTGACATCGATACCGGCTATGAACCCAGCATACTGGCCTCGAATCTCGTAGATTCCACTCGAGGTATCTTTCTCCTCCATCTCATATGCTTGTACAAGACGGGAGTCTAGATCCATCAATGTCTTGGCAACCGGTCGCCGTTCACTATCGTACGTTGCCAAGATCATGGCATTGGCACCATTGGTAATGACTGCAGCCAATTTCCACATCAGGTTGTAGGTGTCTTGGATGGATACATTCATACCCTGGCCTCCCTTCGGCGAATGTGTGTGGGCCGCATCTCCAGCGAGAAAAACGCTAATAAATATATATAAGTCCTCGGTGTGCATGGAATGAAGATTGCTTCTTACCGCTCCTGAGGTATGTAATGTCTGGCTAGGCGTCGGCCGATCTTTTATATCATCATTAGCATGGAGTTGTTGTAATAAAATGCACTGTCATACTGGGTAAATAGACCACCAGTCACAATGATTATACGTCAAGTCATATGGCTTCATTATCGCCTTGGCCATTTCGACCATAGCCCCCGGAGAGCAGCTGGGATGCTGCATGGCGGTTTCTTCAAGGTCGCGAAGATGGATATAAAATCGGACTAGTCGATTTTCTCTCGGTACTGTCATGATGCTTCCGTGAGGCTGAGAGTTTATCGAGCAGGATCGTCGGATATCAGCTAAATTCCGGTCAGATTCGGTATTCTGAGCGGGAAGGTATAATATACGAAAGTCAGTGATTGGGATTATGTCCAGCACACCCCAGGTTGAATCTTCTGATACTATATCAGTCAGGGCGTTCAGTTGGTTCCCGGTCCAGCTATGCGCGCCATCACATGCAACGAGATACCGTGCGTGAATTCTTTCTTCTAGTTATCAGTTCATTGTTAGCCCACTAGCATGCTCCCAATTAATGACAAGAAAACACAAGTGATCTCATACCATATTTTTTGGCACCTTTCACCCCCACTGTGATTGGAGATAGCAGCGGATTTTCATCCGGAGCTGCCGAGACATGTAAGGATACAGCCTCTTTATTCCATTCCACAACCACGACCCCTTTTCTGATCAAGTAATCGTTGAGCACTCGCTCGATAGCGCCTTGGCTTAGCAGCACTTGACCAAATCTTGAAGCTCCTCCTGGTTCTGAGTCAAACGATCTCTGTCGCTCGATGATTCCTTCGCTGTTTTTGGTTGCCTAGTAAGTCAGTCACGAACACAAGAGTGGGCTGTGCCTATTATTTACCCAGTGGCATGTGTCGACGTCAGGAACTCCCTGCTTTAAGATGGGATCGACGATGCCGAAGCTCTCTAGTATTTCTAAGGTCCGGCTTTGTAGCCCATCGGCATGACCTGTCTTCGTTGGGCCCCTTTTTCGATCAATAATACGAGTCGACATGTCGTACTGAGCTGCCCAACATGCTGCTATGAGCCCTGCAGGTCCAGCCCCAATGATTAAAAGGTCCACGCTTTCATCTTTGATAGTAGCGGCTTGCTTTGCGGTGCTTCCTAAGCTGTCATGCCGGGCCTGGGAGCCCTTCGCGGCATTCTTAGTCATGTGATTTGCAGCCTTATTGGCGATACCCTTATCAGAGTTGGAGACGAAACTCGTGGTGTTCTAGAGTCAAGCTGTAAGTCTAGGACAACATAATTGTGATATGTTTCCACCTACTCTGAAGGTATCCATAAGGGACGAAGGCGTCGAATAGACGTATATGATCAGACTTCCATGTAGTTTGGAGGGTTTCCGCGAGCTATTTGTATCCTTACGCACGAGGCTCGAACCTCAGCCATTCACCAACTTACGACAAGAAATATTGATTACGTCATTTGAAGGTCAGAAATAACGTAACCGGTAAGCGAGCGGGTCATGTAAGCGAACGGGTCACCCAACAAAAATCACCCTCCGGTGGACACCCAGCTGAGGGTGCCCCCTTAACTCGCAAGTCGACTGGGCCCCAAAATATTTTTATTACTTAATCTTATTTAATACACACAAAAAGAAAATTCTCAACTTTATATTATCACCTCACTATGCCATCTTCACAGTATTTCTATAGTCCCTTATTCGGACCTCTTTTCGACGACCAGAAATTATTAGTCCACCATTGCACCTATCTGAACTCCTCTCTTCCACACAACGCATAACTTATGCTCTTGATCATATTCTTTATGATGTAACTGATATAAGTTTGCCACTTTTAATAAACTAAGCATATATTAAGCATGTAAAACAGCGAAGTTACACCTTCGAGGATAATCCACCAGTAGTTTCTTTAGATAAGGAAGAAGATAATAGTTTATCTAAATCATAACAATAAACAGTCTTTTTATCAATCAGAATCAGATAAATAATCTACGCAGTCTCTATCCCAATTTAATATAGGGTTAACACAAACTAATATTTATAAGTACGGTATTACTATTAGTACAAGTACGTATAAATCAGTTGTTGCTTCTAAAATCCAAGAACATCTTCTATTGCTAGAATACCTAGCAACATACCGTGAAGGGGTTCTTTATCTTGTTTACCTTAAAGAGGACCTGTTACGAACCGCTAACTGGTCACGGTGAGTAGGGTCCTCAAAGGGTGATACTTCTCTTGGAATACTGCGAGCCTCAAGTATAGTCCGCAACCGTACCAACGCCACGCAGGGCCTTAGATGGACTCGGGTCTCTAGGGTACTTGCAAGGTGTGACAGTTAGGGCGCCGATCAAGTCAGTCACTTAGGGATCAGAGATCACTAAGTAAGCTCCCAAGATCGTTGAGGTTTTTGGCTTTATAGTCGAACTGTGAACTGGTACTCAAGTAACAATGGTGCGATTGATCACGAAGAACTAAATACATGTGGTGAAGACCGTTCTTTATATATCTAGCTCCTCTCACCGTGCGATGAGTCCGGGACTCATCGCCTGGTATCTTCCGAACTCATCGCTTGATGAGTTTCGTCTCATCGCCTGATGAGTCTCCTCACGTGACCCCATGAGTCCCTTGCGTTACTCCGTATCCTGGGGTGTTGGTGAAACCGCCACGGTTTCCCTTCTGGTCACGTGATACTGACGCCGTGTCTCGAGACAGTTCTCCTGGGAGTTCCTCCTTAGACCAGTGGTCCCAAGGCGGTGTATCTGATAGGGCATCGCTGTTTCTTCGGTGTTCTTGGGAGTGGGGCTGTCCTGGGAAGTTCGTAACATATATAGTCCGTCGGGCTTATATTCGCCTTAATAGTTATATAGTCGATACTTAGGGCGAATAGGAATATCTCTACTAACCACGTTATTATTAGCTAATAATAAAAAATAAAGAAATATAGCCTCTACCCTACTAATTTAAAGAGCCTCTTCTAATAAACCTTGAATACCACAAATCAAGAAGCCACCCAGAGCCGCTCGTTGCTGCCGAAGTATAAGACGTACTAGAATCTGTGCAATTATCTCAATTGTGAAACATGGCTTTATGATGTGACCAGTATGCGATATTGAGCATGGACCTCGAGGATAGAGTCACCATTGATGATTTAAAAAATAGCTTTGTCATCGATTTGTATTGATAGCTGATAGCCAATAAAGACCTTGTGCCTTTCTAGCCCGAACATCCTCTCATGGCAGATTGAGCCAGTACACCCACAGGAGCTGAAGAAATACAAGAACAGCCTCAAAAGCCTTTTCACCTATAGTCTGTAACTCACGACGTGAAGGCACTGGGCGGGACTGCGTAGCCGCAGAGGTATCGTTCTCTGGGGGCGGGGTCGCCTTTTTCTTGCTGCCACGAGGAGCCCGCGGGGCGGCTACCGCTGGTTTGGTAGAAGATATTCCGGTCCGTTTTGCTGGAGGCCGGGCTTGGGATCCGGGTGGGATTCCTGCGGAATGATCCGCATCATCCTGGTGCACAACCTCATCCGCGGGCTGAGTGCTCATGTGTTTCATACTCTTCGGCGGCATCTTGATTATAGGAGAAGTTGATGCCAGGTTCGGCTCGTCGCAAGTACAATATATATAGTGAATTGGGGTGCACCAATGATGCAATCGGCCTTTTTTTGGAAAATTTGTGAACACCTTTCCCCGGAGATCTAAAATCGGATTTACCTCTGATGGGGTTCTCTTGTTGCCTCCTGAATCGTCCAAAGGCACGTCTAATTTTAGACAGGTCCAAATAAGAACGTGTGTACAGAAATGATGTCGATGGCTCTATAGAGACAGATTGCTATTTATAGGAGAGACAACAGCTATATATAGGGTGGTTCTGCTCAACCCGATCTGAAGCTCTGACGGGGGAGTGAATTTGCTTCCTTCCTTTATCCTTGGCGAGCAAATGACATGGGTGGCTGTAGCCGCTGGTTCAAGGCCTAGGGAAAACCGACTATTATACATTAGCAACCCACCGACCACTTCCACAGGGTGACTGATATACGCTGTAGGTAATAGACCGTACTGACCCCAGACTCCGTCCCCGATAGTAGGTGTCCCAGCCCACCAGACGAGGTATAGAACAGGACAAACTGGCACGGGTGTTGCTACAATACTAGAAAACTTCATTCGTAGATGATAAGCCGCGTGCTAAATGTTAAATGGACATGGCAGGCTCAATGGATCTCTCACAGGAGCCCGGACCCCGTTTGGAGATAAAATTCTGGAGTAGTACATTGAAGTACCAAGGCAGGTTGAACAACTTTTTTACTTCCTTCCTATACATCCTCCACTAAAGGCCCATTGTTAGCTGAAGCGAAAGAGCAAGGAGGCTACACAACCTTACGAGAGTCATTTAACCACTGGGTTATATCGGGCGGGGACGTCAAAGTGGCGGCGGTAGAGAGATGTTGCTTGCAACAGGTCTGGTGCTGGGTTTTTTCATTAAATCCCCATGCCTGGATCTCCAAGGCCTTGACCTGCCCTTCGAACAGGCTTAATTGACGACGGATAGATTTATAGGAACGCGCGGTTGGGCGAGACCTCAGGCGTGGCTTGTGGAAACGCTTGATCTTGCGAGCAGACCGCTTGTATTTACCCATTCTGGGTGTGGCACGACGAAATAAATTAACGAGGATATTGCTAAACAGAAAATTGTCCTCGACTGACGGATTTCCGGGTTTAATAAGTAGGGTACGGCAAAAGACTTCGTCCACGGGGTTATTCGCCACTCGGGGATTACATACCAACCATCGAACCTTAAGACCCCACCTAGGTAGGGTCCCTGATGGAAGCGGGAAGCGGCAACATCAATTAGTGAGAGCCTCCGCCCATGGCAAACCAAGAATGTATCACTTTTTAGGGAAGGAGCTACATATAGTATATAACCTGTTTTTTAGCTAAATTCACGAGTCCTCACAAAAGCTCCTGCTCTAGCAGTCGTTTCGATGGCAGTTGCAATAAAAAGCCCATGTAATTTGACCCAAGGTTTTTAATTCCGTATTGCAATCCATGTCTTCTTTTCCACCCACCTATAAGGCCGTTCGAGGTGCACTAGGAGGTAAAATCTCTGATCATATCCCTAAGATCATTGATGCCAATCCATGGAGCAACGGCAACATTTGAGCCAGTGATCTGAACCTCTATTGCACATGACTCTTTGTGTATATAGTAGAATTCGAAAACAGTTTACCTCTCGGACACTCAGGCTTTCTTTTCCAGACGCCCCACTTCTAACAGCACCAAACTAGATTCGGTCAGAAAAAGTCCCACTATATCTTGATATATTTGAAGTAGATCAACAGTTACCGTAACCACAGGTCTAGATATTGCTCAAATCATACTTGCTGAAATGCCCACCGGCAATAAGCCAGAATACGGAAACTTATTACGTGCCCGTATTACGTTTCGTTATTTTGGTCGGGATGTATCTAGTGTGTTAAAAGCAGGTTGATAATCAAATAAAGGGCCTGACCTCTTGGATGCCAAATAATCGAAACAAATATGTCCCTTTCACCCGCAGATGCGCAACCCTGATCATCATTTCTGATTATCGCTCGCTTCCTTCACACGACGAGATGAAGTGCCTAGGTATTTCCGTTGATTAATGGTTGTGGTCTATTATTCGAGAGTCATCGCCAGTAGATACGAGTAGGACATACTCCGGGCACGTTTGCCTTCTTCATCAGTTGGGGAAGCCCTCAGAATTGGAGACAGTGCTTATCCGTTACACGGCCTGAGCTTTGCCCTTGAGAAGGCGCGGCTAGTATCCAAGGGAGATAGGCTAATTACGTTGCTACAGCCGCATTCCACATAGGATGATTTAAATAGCTTTTTAGCAGGCATACGCGATTATGGGACTCGAAGCTGTTTCCGAATTAATAACTACCGTAAATAATATCAAAGCGAGTTTTGATGACATCAGTGTATTTAACCCTATACCCCTCATTAACGAAGCCGCTATAGGGGCAGATAATTCATCTATCATTGTAAAGGCGCACAATGTATTTGCGGACATGGTTAGAGCCAAAAATCCGGAAATTGGTATATGCTGCTTCAGGACAGAGTCCCGTAACACCTTTGTTCAAAAGCTTCGCGGTCGTGGAGTAGGGAGGATTTTTAACGAGGACAAATTGGCGCCAAAATCAGTCGACCTATTCATACTCACCCCACTTGGACAGTTTATGTCGACTCTGGCCCTGTGATTGGCTCCAACCTCCCCTACCGTGTAGTTCTGCTGTATCCTTTTTAAAAAATCGTTTTCTTTTTTAACATTTTCATTTTCATTTAATTATGTATTTCTTAACGGTAATTCCTCTATCTCTTCGTTCCCAGATTTCTTTTTTCTTATTTTAAACGGTTTCGAGGAGCGCTGGTTTCATTTGGTTTTATTTCTCCACTTTTTATATATACACTAGTCCGGCGAAGCGCACTACGTTAGGGTGAAGAACAAAGCGATAACACCGCTCTACAGCAGTACGCGCAACCGTCGCTCTATTTCTTTATCCATTGCTATTATTTATTATCTAAGCTGTGGTGTCTCAATCCCGTAGGGGGAAATATGAGGATACGCGAAGGGTGGTCGCAGCTTTGCTTTAGGTTTAAAAACCCAGGATCTACCCACACAAAGGTTCACTCTTGATTTATCTTTTGCCTCATTCTATTCTATCCTACTATTTATTACCGAAATGGAACCAATTCTTACCGTCATCGGTGCCACCGGAACCCAGGGTGGCTCGGTCGTTGCTGCTGCCCTGCGAGACCGGAAATTCAAGGTCCGGGGTGTCACGCGTAATCTCGACAGCGAGGCATCCAGAGATTTGATCTCCAAGGGAGTTGAAATGATCCAGGCCGACGTCAATGACAAGGACTCCCTCGTGGCTGCGTTCAGGGTGGCCAATTCAACCTCATGACATGGAAAGACCAAATAACTGACTAGAAGTTCGATAGGGATCGGACGCTATCTTTGCGATGACCAATTTTTGGGCCGAATTGGATGCCAAAGGTGCGAAGGAGGCAAGTAACATTGAGGCCGAACAGGGAATCAACCTCGCTCGCGCAGCTACCGTAACTCGCTCTCTCAAGCATTACGTCTGGAGTACGGTACCCGACTACAGGGGACGTATCGGCGCCGGACACATCATGGCTCATTTCGATGGGAAGATCGCAACCGACAGATTCATCAAGCAGCACAAGGACCTGCTGGAGAAGACGACCTTCTTGTGGGTTACATACTACGCGACGAACATCCTCATGGATATGATCAGACCCAGTTATCACGTGGGTCGACGCACTCCCCATCTTCCCTTGTGAGGCGCGGCTGCTAACTATTTCTCCATATGTAGGAAGCCGCTGGGAAGTATCTCCAACTCCTCCCCGTTTTTCCCAGCACAGAGATTGTCAGTATAGGTGACCCTTCCATCAATATTGGCATCTACACGCTCGCTATCTTGAATCAGCCCGGACTCGCCAGCCACGGCAACATTGTCCGAGCCGAAGCTGAGACTCTCACGATTCGTCAAACTCTCGATTTGTGGTCTGAGGTGTTCGAAAAGCCTGTTTGGCTTCTTTGGACCAGTCCTGATAGCTATACTGAGCTCTGGGGGAATTGGGGACGTGAAATTGGCACAATGCTGCAATGGTGGAGCCTACTTGGGCGTTCGTGTTGGGCCGCTGACAAACCCGTTTTGACCGGAGAGGATTTGAAGATCACCGGACTGGTCGGCACGAAAGAGGTTTTTTGTCGAATAAAGGAGTCCGCACCGCTCCGACTGCCCTTGCGCTTGATTTCGCCAATGCCCTAAGGGCACAGTCTGCCACAGTCCGGGTCAGGTATCGGAAGCTTATATGGCCGGAAGCAGAATTGCCGTTTCAGCACTATCCAGACCCTTTTTCCACCGGAGGGATACAGAGAAAACAAGGGTTATATTTGATGACAGATGAGAAAGGAATGGAGCTAGACCGTCGATCAAAGATCTTGGCTATTGTATGGTCATTGTTGAATTTTCGAGTAGACACCGTGGCAGGGCATGTAGTATCCAAGACTCCCAAGGTGTGCACGAACGTGCTCAGCCAGGGGCTTTTGTTAGAGACCAAGGTTGCTCCCACGAAGCAGCGTAGAGAATAATCAACATAGTAAAGAAGCAAGAGAGCTGCATGATACGGCGCTCATGCGACCCTAGGGGCTCTAGTCATTCTTTCGTAGCCCTGATCCACGTGCTCCAATCGATCCTCTCGGAACTTTGCTGGATCTTTCGTAGCTAGAGCAGAGGTCTTTTCCGAAAATAAGGTCCTGATCTATCGACTACCCACCTCCAACATATGAACTAGTCAATTATCTAGTAGTGAAGAAATACCAGTGTCTTTTAAAGAAACGATATGCTGTGTTTGGGAGAAATTCAACCTGGCTAATTATCATGAGTTATGGTTTGGGCAGTCTGGTTAACCTCGACATAATCTCCATGGCGAGGGGGAGAAACGGGGAGATAGAGGGCCACTCGTACAATTACGTTTCGCTCTTGAAAGGTGAATTTCCCACTGTTTGCCTGCGAGGGCAGTGCAATACTCTGATCGTCGAACCAAATATCAAGGCGCCCTGGCAGGACAGGTGGGTATACCTCGAGGGATACGGGATTACATGGACTTTTCGGTGGTTCAATCCTAGAGATTCCTTGATGACTGAATCTTGCAAGGGTTCTCTCACCGTGGAGGATGGGCACTTCTTGGATGGCTATGAAGAATGAGGCCCTGTGGGCCTAGTGGAAAAATCTGCTTGCGCTGCCGGTTCGAGACCGCCCTTACCTTACTGTATTCTCTGGGAATATTTATGACGATCGTCGGACCTTAGTCAGCTGTAGGGCCATTTTGACTTGAAGGTAAATTGAAATACAGCCATAGAGGGTGCGGCCGTTTCGCGGAATATTGCTATATGAAGTCAAGAAAAATAACAATTCAAACAAAAGAAAAGGCCCGGCTAGTTGTATACAGAAGCGAAAATGCGGTCAGCTTCAATCCCAAAAGCTCCGTGTTAGGAGATCAAGGGGTCGGGGCTGGGTGTCGTGGGAAGTTCTCAAGCGTCTGCCTGTCGGGTTATCGGAAATTTAGACAGCTAATTACAACAAAAAAGCCGCTTCTCTATGCCATACCTCCGTAGTTTAAAAAAAAAGGTGGAACTACCCATCATTTTTATTTCTCTCGATCACTGTAAAGCATTATGAACAATCCCTGCCCAGTTGACCCCAAGCCCCCGGAGCCCTAAATAGTGGGAGAGCCAATGAGCCGGCGTGATCCTAATCAGCGCCCCAGCTCTACCGAGGGTATTTCTCAAGCCGGCTCATACCATTTTCTATGGTTTGAACAGTTCACGCTCCGAGACGATACATCTCAGAAGTTCTATTTTGAACGTATTTGCTAGGTTATACATAGCCAACAGTCCCTCGAGGACTTATGTCCCCGCATCGATAAGGCGATATTTTGGCACCCCGGAAATGAGAATCCCTGGGCGAGAGTCAACGCATACACCAGGACACTCTGATAAACACTTTTCGGGGTATATGAAACACATCAAAGGACCCCAGAATGAATCCAGATAAAAGACACCATTTTGGCTGCCCAGGATCCTGGCTGGTCCGAACGTGACCTTCGTTGGTGTTCAGCCACCTCGAAATTCCACCTCCTGCCAATTTTTGGTGCTGCCCTCTTGCATCGGAATCTCCGGAAACCGGGATTTTGCCACCACATATCCTCTCAGATTCTCAACTATCGTGTCGCGACTTTTCCTGAAGAGCCCAGTTCTTGGCTGACGGATGATATCGTATCCTGTTGGGATGTGACATTTTGTCATGCGGACGGCGTTAGTATCCTCAGGTTATATGACATGAGAGGGGAACCGAAAGTGTCATTTCGTGGGCTGCTGGTATTGCAGGATGATGCCATTCACTTCATCAATTGGTTAACTGGATCCAAGTTCCCGCATACTTATAACGGCCTGATAGCCGGGGGAGAGCTTGAGTCTTAGTTGTAGCAAAAAATGAAATCCACTAGCCTACTTCCCGATGCCTCTTCCTAGTTTTCGTTGGATAAGGACTAGCCTTTTAGAGAGGTGTAGCGCACTTCCTGGATCTCATTTATGGAGCTAGTGATATATTGCTCTCGAGGATGCGCTTTTTGAGGGGAAGCTCCGTCGGCCACTGACAAATAATATATGTCTATCGTGATTTTCTCTCTCCTCCCTGTTTGTACATGTCTTCCATCGATATCTCCTCTACGGTTCGCTCTTTTGTGTCGATCGCTACCCTCTAAATTTTATGGATCCCTCCCCCCAACGCCATATTTTGGGTCAAGGAAAATAGTAAGGAGCGGCGCGAATGTGTCCTCGACTCCTTCAACATATACGTTTGCGAATTCTTAGCCATTATGACCATGATGATCACGTGTCGCTCTTACTTTAGGGGGATTGCAAAGCGCATGGAGGCAACTTCAAGGGGTTGTGTATTTCGAAATTGCAAACCACTCACCCACGAGAGAAAGCAAGAGGCAAGGCCCCAGTGGGTAGCCAAACTGTGGCACAGTCATCCCTGAGATGAGCTCCGTTTTCACCCAATAGGCAGACATTATTGAAAGCGATTGAAATACGGTTATGGAGGGTTTCTCTGATATTATAAGGTTACTGGGACATTACCACGCTCTCACGCTATTCCACATGCGGTAAGGGCTAATGGAAGTAGCGAGCCAATAAAACATAGTCCTCAACGCGTGGCTCGGTATGTGATCGGCTACTCTTCTTTCGTATGTTACTACGTGTTGCGCCACTGGTCATCTCTGAAAATTTCTTCTAAACGCTGGCGCTAAGCCCCGTCCCCAGGCATTGATCATCAGCTCCTGTTTACGCGGTTTTCGAGGTAATAGGAGCATCGGGGCATATACTACGTTTCGGCTACACAGGACCCGACCTGCTGCCATTTTTCCTATAGTTTGGTATACTCAAAAAGCATTTCTACAGTCCTAATTATGTATTTGGATTATAGATGTTCTGGTCTTTCCACAGGGAAGAATAACGAACAATACCACCTAAAAGACGGGTTCACGAGAATAGATATGGAGTTTCGGTCAAGTTCAAGTTCCTGAATTTGAATATAAAAGCTTCGTGCCAACTAAAATGAAATAGAGCGCTAGATCAATCTAAGGACGTCACAGGGATCTGCCTTTTGCCCAGTCAGAAATAACAGGAACCAATTATAACACGAACACCGCTATTCTACAAAGTTCCACGGACGACCATAACCCGCAGTCCAGCAAAATACCCTTTGATCTCGGAAAAAAGTGAACGACTATATATACGACTCTAACCCGTTCTCTTACACCCCCCAAAAATCGAAATTACTCTCGTTGTTGTTTCCCTTGGTCGCTTTCTAAACCTTCAAGTCTTTCATCCCTAAATTCCTCCAACCCTCCCGATCCTCTAACTGCCGGAGAGCTAGAAAGTTGGTGTGATCCTCCTCAATCCGCAAGCCCCACGGAGGAGGTTGTTGAAACCCGCCTATCCCAATCCATTCCGCGGGAAGAGCTTAGCGCCTCCCGGGTTCACAACAGAAGATATATATTTGAAAAGTGCTCGCACTGGTACATATGACCTGAAATCCTTCGAGGACTCATACGGACGTACCGAGATGATCACACCTGAACCCCACGCCATTCTTATGGAGTTGAGCAACAGTGAGCACGACAACGAGAAGGATCCAAGAAAGATCATCAGGCGCAAGTGGACCGCCTCGCACGATTCCCACATGCTTCCGGGTCAAAAATGGGTTGTTTCGACCCCAAAGGGTGCTTGTTGGTGGGCAGAGGACCTTCGTCGGTGCCCAGTCAGTTCAAAGTTCTACGTGAAGCGTACTAGTGGCGTTGCCCCGTCGGATCGTGGCCGCCGCGAACGTGGCTTTCGCCACCAAATATCTCCCGCGTTTCTTCTGTCCCGTGTTGTCGGCCTAATAAAAAATCCCGCCACTTGGCGGAGGGATAATAACGAGATTTGCTGGAATGTGACATTCCACAATGTGGATACTGTGAGTACCTTCACGCTATGTGCGAAGAAAGGAGAAGACGCGAAGGCATTCTTTCACGGTTTAAAGGAAACGGAGGACGAAGCTGTGGATTTGCTTAATCTTTTGACTGCTTCCAAGTTCCCAAGCAGTTGTAAGAGATTGATATCGTGGAAGAAAAGCTAAAGGTCGGTTGGAGTTCCGTGGATGTTGTTTGCATGGTGCCATACAATTCACTGGCATAGCCCCAAATGCCTAGGAATGGGCTTCATTATTGGTGAAAGCGTTCTAAAGAAGAGTACCACGGTTTCTAAATAGGGCGAGTGATAGATCTTTCTCGGCGATCAACTTTTGGGGTGTAAGCTTTGCTAGTCACGCAGAGATGATCTCCATATCTTCTTCCTTCTGCCTTGTCTTCGGATATCTCGTCTGTGAAAATCACCCCATTCGCCCAAGTTTTAGGTCAAGTAGAAGAAAAATGAACCGCACAACCCTGGCCGATAGCAATTTTGGTGTTGTTACTACCGTTAAGATTAAGCTTGATTCTTGAATCTAGAAGTATTGCGGAAACACACTACTATCGTAAATATATGGAAGTGACGTGGATTGTGTCAAGGCTGAGTAATAAGAAATTACATACCAATAATCCGGGAGGGCAAGGGAAGAGTCAAGGATCGGTGTCCGAAATGAGGCACTGCCTTTCCTCGGATAGGCCTTTCACCTAATGGGCGAAGTTTGAAGGCCATTGATTCTCGTATTTGACCATGACTCTGCCCAGTGAGAACCTCGCAGAGCTTCAATTGGTCACTATAGTATGTTCGCCCTTTTACTGATTTTCAGGATCAATCAAGTCGACAGGGGCAATTCCGATCTCGATCGGCAGGACTTAATTCTTCTTTCAAGGCCTGGCTCCCTTTAACCTATCCCTTGGAAGGCCCATAGAACGGGCGCTTTCTATGGTGAACAAGGCACGTTTGGTTGCTGACCCAGAGCCCACACATATTGAATCTCGAAACGCTAGATAGCGCCCCGCAAAGCCCGGAAGACTCGAGAGGAGCATTAAGTTAGGGGGAGTTACGCGGCCCAGTAGATTTTTATTGTATTGAGATTAGGCGAATTCGCAGGCCAATAAAGAACTGGGATATCCATCGAATGTAAATGGTTAGAGGCCTTTTTAGACCCATGATTGGGGCATTATCTTGCATCAATTTTGCAAAGATACCATATAAAGGTATAAAAATCAAATTCAAAACAGACGGTAGCTCGGACCACCATTACTCGAAACCTCCGACCACCATAAAGGTCACGTGTAGTCACGTTTTTGGTCACGTGTTGGGAGGTCAGACCACCATTAGATTCTAATGGTTAACCGAGCTCTATCGTTATCTTGTCACACAAACTGAAATCTGTTTACACCCTACCAAAACCAGTTACCAGCTCGTTACCAACTAGTTTTCAACAATGGACGCCCAGACTAATCCCGACCAATGGCTCGCGCATGAGCATAATACTATCTACTCCCTTCTTTATCGGGACTGGGATGATAGGGAAGAAATAGAACGAGAAACCGCCCAAATTGAAGAGTTTGAACGCTGGCGAGTTGAGTTTAACGAGGCACTAGGCCGTGTGGAGGAGGAATCGATCCCCGAAAGGCCCCGCCCGGTACTACCCCTTCAAAAATATATATTCATATTATCTATCCGCCAACTAGTATGAAACTATATACTAACTAGTTCTTAGCCACCCGGTGCAATACCTTTGACTAATGGTCATAACGATGCAGTGTCTGCTATGGTAATTGACCATCAAGACTTCCTACCAGAGTACCCGCCAACGCATGAGTTTGGCTATGCAATAGTCATCAATCTATCGGGTGAGCATGAGGAAACACTGAAGGATAGAGATAGGATTATAAAGAGGATGACAGAGGTAAAAGCTCGAATACAACTAGTTGTGAACCAGTTATTAACTAGTTGTCTAGGTTCAATACTCTTATTCGATGCAAGGCTCGATTATACAGTGTTTTAACTCCTTTCTTAACTGCCAAACCGAGAAAAGAAGGTTTCACTGTACTGGCGTACGAGCTTGCGAGTATCTTGACCCTGAGCTACGCAATATGTATCACAACCACGTTAGTGAAAGCACCTGGCGAGCTATACAGCGAAAGAGAATCCATCTCCAAAGAGTCGAAACAGTCACAAAGAAACAGAGAGCAGCTCTTGCGTAAGTCATACTAGTTTGCAACTAGTATCGAACTAGTTCCTTCACTAATAGCTACCTAGGATGTATTTTGCTAGCCTCGGAAGGTTTGAAAAACGCAATTGTTGCGGCACCAGCTTTAACGACACATGCGCTTTGATATTTGGTTACCATAAGGAAATGGTATATTTACTTAAATACTCAAACTACTCCCGAGCTAGTTACTAACTAGTTTAGACAATCCCTGGGGTCTTTATTCCATTTATTGCATGCAGGAATTCGACGCCATCTTCTGATACGCCGTCTTCTAACGAACATTTCTTCTACAACCTCCAACAGCGAATGAACGATATGGATACAGAACATCTTCGGGATATTATCCAGGGATCCAGTGAGAGATCGTTCGAGATGTGCGCGGAAATCGAGCAACGCAAAGGACGAAAGAATCGATGTAGTAAGTCTATCACCGAACTAGTTGATAACTAGTTAGGAACTAATATATAATAGGAGTTCCTCACCCACAGGCCCAAGGGAATTTCGAGGTTTTACCTTGTAAGGTTCAATTCTGCACCTATATCCCACTTGATCTAGTGCGAACTCCCTATATTATCTGGTATTCAAGAGGAGAAGAGCATACCCATCCGCCACCGCCGCCTGATAAAGCACCACAAACGATTCTTGATGACGTACTCGCTCTAATTAAACGAATGCAAGCACCTGAGATGACACTAAGTAAGTGTGCTCTAGTATAACTAGTTAGGAACTAGGTATTAACTAGTTCCTAGGTAGCTTTCTTAAGAGTCCTGCTCTTAAAGAGTTCTGCGCAGAGTTCGAGACAGAAACACTTTCTGGGGTCCATGCTAGCTTTGTTAAGTATGACCGCTTTTCAGCGCTTATAGCTAAACAACGTGCTTTGGATTTCCCTCAAGGAAGGGACTTAAATGGTGTCCTCTTTCAATACAATCACCATGAGCACTTCAAGGTAGGAACTAGCTTCCAACTAGTTTCTAACTAGTTCCATTAACTATTAATAGGAATACGTTCGCAAAATCTACCAAGATGAGAGATATGGCAATATAATTATCTGTGGATTCGACCCGCAGATACGCTTTATGGCCACTCTACCATCATACGAGGTTGATATGTCCTATAAACGAGTGAGAGGCCCCTTTAACGAGGTGACTTTTGCTACGTTTGTCGATAGGATAGGCCAAGGAAAGAGTGAGTCTCCTTATATTGGTTATAAACTAGTTTTCAACTAGGTCTTGCTAACGTATTTAAGTTATAACACTCCTTCGAGTGTTAACAGATCGCAAAGAGGATGCCCATACATATGAGGCGATCTTCACCTACGCCTACGAGTTAGTTGGAGAGGTAACAGGACGACCGGCTCAGTTTTATTACCTTCACAATACGGGACTAAAAGCTATTGTGTTTGATATGGACTGGGCCCAGTTCAAAGGTATACGGTGTTCCCAACTAGTATATAACTAGTCACTAACTAGTTATAGGTTTTGGACTGTTCCTCCAAAAACAAGATCCTCGCAAACGACCATGGGACTGGCAATGTCGTAATATTGTTATGTTCTGCCATGTCCACTTCCTAAGAACAGTTAGTCGGCTCGTCCCAGCGAACCATGGCCAAATATTCCAGTCATCACGCACGCGATTAAACGCTATCCTTAGTGCAAAATCAGAAGCGGAGTACTATGAGATTATCGATTTGATTATAGGTAAATCTATCCAGGAACTAGTTGACTACTAGTCACTAACTAGTTACAGAGCACGAAGAAGATGAGAAGTTTAAGGATTGGGCGACACACAAAGCCCACCCAGTAATCGCAGCAGGGCTTAATAAGGCCTGCTCCTTGATAGACCCGGAGTTCTATGATACCTTTCGGAATTCGACAAATGCAGTAGAACAGACCCACTGGAAGTCGTACTTCACAGGGATTTATACTTCATTGTTAGGGGCTATCCGGGGGTAAGTGCTAAACTAGTTTATCACTAGTCGTCAACTAGTTAAAGCTTACTCGCTCTCAATAGATCTAGGGACCTTGACCAGCACGATGTTGACCAAATGTCAGCCCTAGAGACGTTTGGAACGAGTATCTCGTGGCGAGATTCCTCGCAAATAGGCCGATTTTTGAATCATCTCGCGCGAGACCGTGAGTGAACTAGTTTCCAGCTAGTAAATAACTAGTTCCCTAACATACGGATTAGACGCGAATCGACAGAAACGACGTCGCGAAGCATACGAGGATACACTTCAGAGCGAGGATTCTATTGATGAGGGTATCCTCCAGGAAGCTGATTCCTCAGGGCATATTAGGCCACGCTCACGAAGCCGTGGTAGAGGACAAAGCCGCTCGCAATCAAGATCAGTGACACCAAGACGCTCACAGAGTCGCGCAAGGTAAGTGCAACTAGTTCATAACTAGAATATAACTAGTTCGGCGATATACTAAATCTATAAAATTAAGGTCAACCAGAGCTAGTTCGACACCCGATAGTGGTGGTCTTCGACGTACAGCGGCTGCAAATAGCTATGCGGAAAGCCAACGAGAGGAAATTAGCGTCTCTGCCCGAGAGCAGCGATTCCAAGCCGAAACAGCGAAGATAGAGGCGGATAATCGGGAGAGACAATTACGTCTGGAACGGGAGGAGATACAACTACAACTAGAGCGTGCAGAGATGCAAATCCGGCTTAGGCAGCTACAAGAACAAAACTAGGCTTTAACTAGTTCGTAACTAGTTAGAGCTCCTAGTATAGCCTTACCTTCCTATACTCTGAACGTGGAGCTAGAGATATAAAAGCTTGCAGAATTTAAAGTAAGAATTATAAGGGTGAACTTCTTGAATAAGCCTTACTAGTATTTTACTAGTTAAGAGCTAGTTCTTAGATATATAACTATCATTGCATTCATAAAGTTCTTGGAATTTAAGAACTAGTTAAGAGCTGGTTCTTAGACGTGTAACTATCATTTGCATTCGTAAAGGTCATAGTATGTCCAAGAACTAGTTAAGAGCTAGTTCATAAAATCCGCCGTGTAAGTTCAATGACCACCATAGCAAAAAAAAGAAAACAAAAAAAGAAACCACTAGGAAAACTAGTTACAAACTAGCTCCTTGCTCTAAGCCTCATCCCCATCATCCTCCTGATCGCGAGGGTCGACGAACATATCAAAGTGTTCGCAAGTGTCCTTGACGTCGTCGTGGCAGCAGACTAAACTAGTTAGTACCTAGTTGAACCTCTTTTGTTTACAATATTTTAGAGTACTTACGCTTAGGCTGGTCGTTGTCCTTGCAGACCTCGCAAGGCACAGGAAGTTTCATAGCCCGGATAGCGCGACGCATTTTGGTAATATTCACCTAAAAATATTAGCAAAAGAACTAGTTAGAAACTGATATAGGACAATATTTACCGATCCATCATTCTTGAGGGGAAGATCAGGCAAAACCTCCTCCTTCTCTGCCTCGCGATCGTCGTAGGCCTTCATGATGTCGTTGTAGAACTCTATAAACTAGTTAGTAAATAGTTCTATAAACATAGAATAATAAAGGAAATATTAAAAAACCCGATTAAATTAACTAGTCAAGAACTAGTTAATTTAATCGGTATCTACACACTTACTGATAGCGCGAGCTTCCTCGGTCTGCGTAGGGCGACCACCCGATTCCTCGCCAGTCAGAAGCACCTCAGGATGCTGCTTCAGGATGTGCTTGCGAAGGTTGTTGGTGGAGGTGAAGAGAGTCTAGGAGTAGTTAGTAACTAGTTTAGAATAAAGAAAAGTGAAAGAAAAGTAAGAACTTACGTCGTTGACGCAGTCCTCCACCCGACAATAACGTTCCCCGACCTCAACAGTGTAGTACCCCTTTGTCTGTAATATCTCTCAGTTTCGAAGCCCTAAAATAATTCACAACTAGTTAACTAACATCTTCTTCAAGGGAAGGGAGATCTAGGTCTTCCTTCTTGAGGTCGAGGTAACGTTGGAAGTTGAGCTGCGAATCTCTCAGTTTTGAAGTCCCAGAATAAGTTCAGAACTAGTTAACTCACGTTTTTCTTGACTTTCGCCATCTTGCTACCGCTTGTTGATCGAGGATTCGGGGGAAAGGGAACTGGATACTTCCTAGTTAAGAAGTAGGTTTAGAGAGGTAAGAAAACAGGTAAAAACACTGTATTCGTGGACTTGGAAATATGGGGGAGGTAGTAAGGTAAGGTAAGCTAAGTGGAGAATCTGAGAGGTGGGACCCCCATTAGAACTAGTCCCAAAACGGTTACGGGTCTACACGTGACCGACACGTGACCTTAATGGTGGTCTGAGGTTTCGAGTAATGGTGGTCCCAGCTGTAGTCACATTGAAAAACCATCCAATCGTGGTTATAATCTTATCGATATGACTCAGTATTGATATTTCCCATTTCTTCTCCGAAAAAAAAAAATTTAAATAAAATAAAGGACCTCACGTTATCCTGCAAAATTGACCCAGAACAACCAACCTCTTTGACCTCTGAGGTTCCATCCAAACAGCGGTAGAATGATCGATCCCTTGGTCATTTCCAACCACATTAGGTTTGCGGTCGCAGCTTGGGGTAAAAGAAAGACTCATCGGTCTATATAATCTTTACCTAGTCATCATAGGCCCAATGCCGATGTTGTATAGCTCATTTAAGTCGTCTTTGGCGAGCTTCGTCTTTACAAAGAGACGTTCTTTTTAGGGAAGGACGTTTTTAATAAACTGTTTTTTTTTTGAAGTGTACGACGAAGGGTTTCCACAAACGTCAAAACCGAGGTCTTTTGCTAGTTCCACCCAATTTTTGACTCGATTGTCAAAGCTTCAAGTAGCATAATTGCTTTTTTGGTATCTTCCACAGTGAGTTTTTGATAGAGGCCTTGTCTTTTTTGAGACGCAGCATAGCCTTGATAGCATGTATGTCTCACTTAATTAAGCGAAATACGCATATGGGAGGCAATTCGTCGATAAGACCATTCATCCCTTTATGATAGAAGGATAATAAGCCGTTGATCGCGTGTATAACAGTGGCGCGAGGGGGGGGGGTTAGTAGGCATAGTGGAATTGGTAGTGGAATTGGCAGTCGATATAATATGAATGGTAAGAATATTACTATAGGAGAAAAGGGGTAAAGCAGGATAAAGATATCGTCTGTTTTGATGATATTAGCCATGATAAATATGGTAGGGGGCGGGGGTGTGATTTACTCTTTAGTGCGGTGACCTACATATTGATGACACCATCCGCAGAGTCAGCTCATTACAGTTGGCGCTCACATTTACCAATTAATTAGGTTTAGCCCCTCTTCGTAATAGGTCCCTCTTTCTCCCTGACCGCCTGCGGGCTTCACCGCGGGAGACTATTTAACTGCTGGAGCATTACGTCATAATAGTAGCATACACTTTGGTTGTTCATGATTTTATTTCTGCCTTACTGTTGTCCTCGCAGTTACCTTTGTGGCTGTACGTATACATAATAGTTTGTCACCTCACTCTTGCAAAGTGTCGTAATCGTTGCTTGCGATTTATTAATCAGCTACTAAGATTAGGTCACGCAATAACTTCAATATGTCCAATGATGACGGCCAGTCCCGAAGTTCCCTTTTTGTCCAAACCAGGCAGATACCTCTACAGATAGGGGAGCGCCGGTTTGTCACTACCCGTGAAACGCTCACACGTGAGAGCGGTTTCTTCGCCTCTCTACTATCCGGACGTTGGGACAATGCACTTGCCGACGGCTCTTACTTCATCGACGCTGATCCAACTTTATTTGAACATATCCTACGCTATCTCCGGCGTGGCGTGCTTCCTATCTTTTACGATACCAACAAAGGACACGACAACGCGTTATATCTTGCCCTTCTTGAAGAAGCAAGGTATTTCCAAATTGCTAGGCTCCAAGAGTGGCTGGAGAACAAACAGTATCTCTATGCACTAACTGAAGAGTATTCAGTTGAAGAATTTGAAGGAACTCCATGTCCTACAACACTATCCACAGATACAGGAGTCATGTACTACCCTAAATGGGGAGCCAAAAAAGTGTACGTGTGTCCTAGGGGAATATATGTGCACAGGGGACGTCCTGGTGCATGCGGTAGGCAATGTATGAATGCACGAGGGGATGCAGATGCTGTTTATGACAAGGAACCCGTGCTGAGGGTACAGTAGAATTCGAAATCAGTTTTAACTCTAAACTCTGACTTTTTATGTCCCGGACCCTAAGTGGAGACACGCTAATCTAATTTTAGCTCTTCCCCTGTTAATCCATGTAGGGCTGTATTGTATTCACTGGTAACCACAATGAGTCATTGTTATAGTACCGTAATTTCTTGCAGAAACCGATGGAATCCATCGTGCAAACAGATCAAACAAAAGAGAATCCTAACAATCTGGCAAGATCTTCTTTCATTCTCTCATATCTTGCTTGGGCTATTTGTTAAGCGCAGCCTTCGCCCACACTCTTTTGCATCCAAAAGAAGGCTGTAGTGACGCCATAGAGAACTTATCCTGGTACGCAACTTGTTTCTCTATAGCTCTGACTTCTGCTATCTACTGCGGTTCTCATTCGTTACCAAGTCCTAAGCAAATCCGGTACTTGGGGAAGCTGACATGGACCCTCCCAGGACTGCCATCGTGCTGTAGAGATGACACAGAGCCCATATCATGACGATTGCATCCCTCATCCCGAAGATCCTGCAACATGGGAAAACAACGCACAGTACGCTCCAACACCTGGATATTGCGGTAGTCCCAATGCAACACGGTTCAACTACAGTCCTTCCCCCTCTGTTGTGCTAGAAGATCAGTCACAGTCGGATATTCTTAGGCTGCTCCAGTTGTCTGAATGGGAAGAAGGAAGAGTATACGACAAGGACCCGCCGACCTGTATACACTACCGTATAGAGTGGCTTGTTACAGTCAACAATCGAGAGGTATCAAAGGACACGGAGGAAGATCTTGTTTTGGCCCCTAGTGCCTTTTGGCAGCTGTTCTTGGAGAAGAAATTAGAGAAAGTTCTTCGACGAAAAATTGCCCGTCATCGTCAGGTGAGAGCTGATGACACTGCGATTGTCGTTTCAGTGAACGACCGAACCCAGCGCAATTTGACTAAACGATTTGATGATACCGAGATCATTTGGACCGCCATCGAGAAGCAGCTTCGGATGTGGTCAGGTCTATTCTCCCGGGGTAAAGAGCTTACGTTGAAGATAAGTTTCAATTACGTAGACGATCGTTACTCTCCTCCAGCCGCCGGTCGGAAAGGGGAGAAAAGAGGAAAAGCCTCTGTTACGAAGAGAATGCTCGATGAGAGAGCCGCTCAGATTGATGCTGAGCAGGATGCTTCTGGAGAGAGACCTACCTGGCGCAGCGTCTACAACCTGATGCGATGCGCATCCTCGACTTGCCTATTAGGCCCATATTGTTGGGTGGGTCCAATCGGGAAAAAGCATTACCAACTAAGGACTCATCATCTCAAGCGGCTCGTTATCCACGTCGAAAAAGGTGGGGTGTTAGACGGGCACAAGGATGTGCCAGAAAGAGTATGCGAAGATTTATATATGGAAGAGCAACGAAGACAGGAAAAGAACAATCGCAAAGGAGGACATATGACAGGAAATGGAGCACCCTATCCTGCCATCAACATCAATGTCCTGCCCTCGCAGTCTTCCACCTCTGCGGCTGCACAGGTTTCTGCTGACTTCCAGTCCATGCAATCTCTAGGCCCGCTTGAGATCCCTGGACCTAGGGATGAAGCGGTCAAGGATTATGGTGAATGGCAGGTGTCAAATGTCACTGATGACACTCTCAAGGCTGCATTTCGAGAGATCTGTGACATGATGATCGACAATGGTCTTGATCTTGAGCAGGTCTACAAGGATCAAGGCCCGGAATTCTTTATCGGAAAGGGCATAAAGATAGGTATTGCTCGACGGTTCGTAGAAGACATTCGGCGCTGGGTCGAGAATGTGAAGAAAGCAATCCCTATTTATGACATAATTTAGCAACTACCTGCTTTGGCGTTGGAGCACATGGCGTTTAGGAGATTTAATTTAGCATAGGCTGTTGACCGCAGGTTCAATTAACATACTACTGGTTTCACGAGTGTTGATTTGTGTAGTTGGAATTGTTGTTTAGAGGCTACAGTAATACTATAATTTAAGCCAGGAAAAACAGTAGCTGAATTCGTTGAACTTTTTACCCATCATTTCCACGTACCATTACTACAGCGTTTTTGACAGACTTGGGCCGGATCTCCACCAGAGGTGGGGCTGGGTTACACTGATATTGTGGGGATGGCCATCAGAATACTGAGTAGTTTACGGTTTCCGCAGCAATGTGAGGTGACACTGTGTAACTACGGGTTCAGAAAAGCTGGCAGAATTGCATGACATTCACTGCTAAATTTGTTCTAGAAGAAGCTCCAAAGTCCCGGCGCCATATAGACCTCTTCTTCGGTCGTGTTGGCCTTCGCTTGTTAGTTGAGGTTATACCTTGTTGGTGACTCAAGTATTTAGGCTTAGCTTTCCTGCGAATTCCCTCAGAATACATCTGACGGCCCTGTAAATATGTACTGCACTATATGCATCAAATTTACACAGAATGGGAGATACAAAAAATAAGCCCCAGTACTCTAGGCGGCGGTCCGAACTCTCATAGATACTGTATTCCTCATTCTCAACGTAACGTTGCCACCAGTACTGGCAGTACATGTATTCCAAGCATCAACCTAAATGCTTCATTCATCCGACGACTTGTTTCCTCTTTCCTGATATAGAATATGACCAGTATACTGTCCCTGTTCATCGTGGTAGATATGAGCTGTTTGAGCCTTGTTGTTTTTGAATTGTTCCTCCGTTGCAAACAAAGCTGTAGCATGCGGAGTGAGATCGGTATGGCTCGTGTGCGATGGATTCCTGCAATGGTAAGATTTCTGGAAGATAACAACTTCCTATTGCACTTAATATATAGAATAACTACCGGTTCTCTAAGTATCCAAAATCTGGAGTGCGTAGCCAACCGGGAAGGTTAAAAAGAATGGGGTGGATGGCATAAAATCGAATCGACCACCATCCTATTTACCGCTATTGGATAGAGAAAGGAGGGGCAGCGCTCGTTCCAGGCGGCGGGGGGGGGTTGGAAGCCGGCGTCACGTGATCGACATCGCCTCCACCCCTTAACAAGCCAAGATAGCTTGACAATGGCTGTTGCGCGATTACGTAATCTACACGTGAGGCCTCAATTCTCTCCGTCCCTCTCCCTCCCTCTCTCTCTGTCTCTGTCTCTGTCTCTGTCTCTGTCTATGCCTGTCTGTGATTCAGAATCTTCGAGGAACCTTTACAAGCGACATCAGCAACTCTTCTTACACTTGGGACGAAATGAGTCAGGCTACTCCGGTGCGGATAGTCCTTCCATATCGCGAACAACCTTTTCAAAAGCCTACAGCAATCATCAACGCTTTCTTTACATGGCGAGGTATTCAACCCCCCCCGAGAAGACTACTATACACATATATGCAGTGATCCTCGATCTTCTCGGTTATATCTTGTTCTCGATCTCCACTGCAAAACACATCCAAATGTCGATCTTAGCAATTTAGACCTCGAAGTCTTCAAAGTCTCAGGAATTGATCCATTGTGCGTTACCCTCTTCTATAACCTAACTAAGCTAACTGTATTTAGTACATTTCAGGATCTCGGAGAGGTAGCTCGCAAGCAGGTTCACCAACGATCTGCTTCTCTGGATTGGGGGGAAGGCAACCACTCTAGTCAGAGGAATTAGTCGGTGTTGTACCAGCACAGGGAGGACAGGATCCCGCTATATTCGTGTCTTGCGCATCGAGAACCAACGGGAGGTCTCTCAGAAACCCTGAGGGAGGTACGCATGGGACATTTGCAGTGCTTCTTGCGGGTGTACAAAAGATAATGTGATCTCGATTCATGTGTTTAGGAACACGCGTACAAGCTGCGTATGTCTTGCAAGCCCATTCACACATCGCGTGAGAGTGAAGGAAGTCGGTTAATATTGAATATCGCAGAGAGGACCTTCACACAAAGCGGATCGTGATGCGAGAGACGTAGTCTTGAAAGGGAAGGCGGCTCGAAGAGGAGACAATCTGTATTTATAGAATCAATGGTCTGTTCTACAGCTCTAAACACCATTCGAAAAGATAACTTACTTCGTCCTTGGTTATAATAGTTGCGGGCTAAAGGGGCAGCGCGATCGACGGAATAATTAAGAGGTTCAGCCCCTGGAACACGAAGGCTTCCGCGGGTCTGTTTGATCGAATTTGTGATGGTATGATACTGCTTCGATGAGGGGGCAACGGAAGTGGATATTGCCCCTACGGTAAGACTCGCGTAGTTCAGAATCTTGTGTTTCGGATGTATAGATATCTCCTGTCGAACAAAGAGCATGAATGATACTTTATAAGCAGACAAACCAGATTTGTGTCCGTAAGGAGCAAAGTTGCCGAGAACCAATAGTATGCCTGAGTTTACCGCTGTTGGCTGAGATTTCAATGTGGCTACGTATCCTTACGAGCTGCTTGCAGGTATTGGCCAATAGCTGGGCTGCATTTGCAGGAGCCATGCAGGAGCAATCACATTAGGCGTTTGTTGATAGTTCAGCGTCTCTGAGCCGACCGAGACCGAAGCACAATCATCAGGACCTACACATAGGCGGTGGAGTGAGTCGGCCTAATTTTCTTTCCGCTGGGCCTATAAATGCGTAGCGTCTTAGCTGGCCTGGCAAATATCGTACGTAGCTTGTCATTGGGTACCTTGATTTAGGTGGACTTTTTAGAGGTTTTTTTTTAGATCTGACATTGTGTACCAATCAGTGGTGTGATCTTGTCGATATATATTTTGGTCGTGTACCAGCGACCAATCATTTGCCGCCGGGAAGTTACTGGGCTTTTTTTTAAACCATGTTATTGGCTGTTGTATGCAGGTTGTTGCCACGTCATCATTTTCCCGGGCGCGTAGGACATCCGATCACATAATCTGGACTGATTAGTTACATAAAAACCCAAGCTAATAGGTTGGCAGCTCTTTGAACTGTTCGTGGGCCAGCCACCTTTCGACGCATTCTTAATAACGCCCGCAATCCTTGTTGGCCAAATGCGAGAGATGGCAACTGATGAACTACCTGAAAGATGGCAACATGAATGGAATACGATGAACACAGGGGACGTCATGGCCACAGAAAGCACCGGGCCCAACTTGCAGGAATGGCTGGAAGAAGTATACTTTGATAGCCCGCTGAGTCCCGATCTCACACGAGAGGACATAGTGAGGCTAGGACGAATCGTTGGAAGATTATTGCATTTTGAGCCGTCTGCAAGAGCGTCAGCGAAACAAGTTCTTGATGACCCTTGGTTTAGTGAGTGACCCCATGACAAATAGTCATTACAACATGAAGGCGCGTGTGAAATTTGTCTTCATTCAATTGAACTGTACTGTACCTAGCAATTTTCTGAGGCCTCTTCGATTTTCAAGCCTGCGTGCCGAAAATGACCTCTAGCACTCTCTTCTTTTGCACCGACCACATCAATACACCACCCAAGAAAGGCATCAAAGCCTTGATCGGGGTCTACTTCATAATAGCCCCAGTTGCGTTTAATAAAGGCTTTGAGCTCAGCGAAAAACTCTTCAATCGGATTCAAGTCCGGCGAGTAGGGTGGCAGATAGACCAATTTTACCCCTGCATCCACACACATCTGTGTTATTCGCTCTGAGTGATGAAACGAGGCGTTGTCCATAACCAGAACGGATTTAGGTTCGGGCCATCTTCCGCAGTGCTGAAGAAGCTGCGCTATGAAGTCCTCGAACACGGTGGCATCTGTGGACCCGCGGAAGATACGCGAGAAAACGATTCCATCCTGGGAATACGCAGGCAGTATCTGATATCGCTGGTCGCGGTGAAATTGTGATACTTGCATAGGGGACACACCAAGTGGTGACCAGCCTGTGCGCCTGAACCCAACCCTTTTATCACATCCGGATTCATCTACGTAAACCAGCTGATACGACTGAAAATCCGATAAATTATGCAGGTACCATTCTCGCAAATCGGCATTCCGCTCCCTCGCTTGCTGCCGAGTGCTCTTTTTAGACCAACCGTTGGCAACAAGGGCTCGTCTGATGCTGGAGGTTGTGACTAGGGTGCGGAATTCATCCCAGAGGAAAACAGCCATCTCATCGAGGTATAATCCGGGCTTTTCAGACAGGTGTTCGCAGAGGGCTTCGATCATCAGTGGTGTTACAGTCCGTTTCCGTCCTATTCGAGTTGGGGGTGCATGCACACTTCCAAATTGCCGCAAGTTTGCGCGAATATTTATAATCGTAGCCTGGCTGCATTCTGCTTCTTCAGCCATTTTAGATGTGCCAAGTGACTGGCTCTCTATCATGTCGCGGATGAGATGCAGCTTGGCTGGTGGAAGTCTCGGAGCCATTTTGTGAGGTCGATTATGACATTCTAGAGAGATAGTCTGGTGAAGATGCCTCCTGCTTGGGGTGGGTGATATGGCAGAGAATTACCATTGTATGGCATTTACGAGTAGGATACACAAGACAGGGTCCCACCTTCGTCATGTAAAATACAATGTCTATTCTTGGAAATCACGGATCTACCACTATTCCAAATATGAACAAGCGTGTTTCAGATTAGGGTTCGCGAATCAAGTCGCAAGAGTGTGAAGTTAAAACTGATTTCGAATTCTACTGTACTTATGATCAAAAAGCGGACAGTCTTTGATAAGCAGGCTTGTGTGAGTGGCCGGTAAGCACTATCCATGCTATCCATGAGCACTACCTAGAGGGTTCTCTGCCTAAGTTTGATTTCTAGGTTCGAGATCAACGAGGGTACGCAATCTTGATCTAGCTCATAATATACAGTTATTCGGGTTCAACTGACTGATTCCAGAGCAAACAAGTTTCTTTTCTGAAAGTGAAGTTTAAATCGAAGTTTGCTGGAGGTATTTTTGGGATCTTCACATGTCAAATAATCAGGTATTCATAGGGAAATTGGAGTTGTCTTGCACGATCAGACAATAGCTGGAGTGAAAAACAAAAACAATGGAGACAAAAGGTATAATACAGCACCCAGTTGTATTAAAGGTCGCTTTAAGCCATAATTCTCTCAGTCCCATCCTTTCTTCTTTCGGGCAGCCTCTTCGTCGAAACTTTCCGAGAGGACTACTGGGACGTCGGCGATGGGGTCAAAAGTCTAGAAGAATAAATTGCCCAGGCACTCAGCTCAATCATCGCTACAGAAGTCTGTATCCTTCTATCAAAAAAAAAGGGGACAAAAAAAAAAAAAAAAAAAACACAGCCTACGTTAAGGGTTTCGATATTTGACCACGTGTACGTAATGGCCATATAAACTTGGCTGTCATCATTTGACCAGCTGCCTCGCGAAAGAATTAACATGTTACATTGTATTGGGAATGATATTGACTGAATGTAATCTAGCCCCAAAAAGCTGCGTCGCAGTTTTTAAAAATTTCTTAGTACTGTGATTTCTGGCATATATTTTTGATTTATCATGAATAGCCCGGATATTCAATTCTAATCGTACTATTAAATGTAGCGTTCTTCAATTCAGCAAACCCGGGTTGTACCATAAACGATTACATGTAAAGGAGGCGTATTATGGCACCATGTGCTTCAATTGGAGGCATAGTAGCTCTGCCAGAAAACAGCGCAAGACGAGCTCTTGACGGAAAACTGATCTTTGTCAGGATACCCATCGCTGCGGTTATTGGTCATGGAGGTGTCCAGTTGCTCCTACCCCCATAGGGTACGATTGAGCTTGAAGCTGCGGCAGATTTGGAAGTTGGATATCTTTCGCGTGAAAATTGGATCAGTGAATATCGTCCGGGCGCGAGCTCCCTGAAAATTAGGCGCATCCCATACATTGAGGTGTAACGGAGAAGATATTTTCTACATATATAGGGATATGTGAGCACAAAGACTAGGTATATAGAGGAAACTAATATACTATACCTGAACGGTATCATTAGAGATACGAGATGGCTGCCGCGGTAGAAAAGTTGCTAGCCCCAACAATGAGCAAAATTATCATCGACAGAGGTTTCAGGCTGGAAAAATCAGCAACTCGGAATCCTTTGTCTCGCCAACCCCTTTTAAATAACAGTAGGAGTCATGAGGCAGGTTAGTGATGTTTGTGAGCTAAGCTGACAGGCAGAAATGGAACACATCATCTCTAAATAGCATGGGGAGTCTGCCATTCAACGAGCCATTGCATCATTGCATAGAGTGACGTGAGGACTTACCAAGAAGTCGGTGATCGAGGTTTCGAAGTGGCTACCACAATAACAACGGACATTCAAACTGGTCTGTATTGTAAAATAGTGGTTATTTTATTGACCTGAGCCGATTATTAGCCAAGACAACTAGGTCACTTCTACCTTCCTGCCCCATCCCAATGTTTACAAACTCGAGGCTCGAACACTCAATTATATTACTAGATGTTATTATAAATGGCCCATTCCGCAATAACTATGAGCTACAGGGCATTTGTATAGTTGTAGAACGGAAGAAATAGGCTGCTAGTATGATACAAATGTAATAGAAGGCGTGTCGTGTTTAATAGTCGGCAATAATGAGGGTGTTTAAAGGTGAGTAATGAATACGGCGTTTGAAAGAGTCCCATGTCGAAGGGACGTTCAAAAGAGTTAAGGAAATTGAGATATCGACCATCGCTTCTTGCACTGTCTAGGGCTACCTGGTTCGTGCACGACGGTTATGCACTCGATGATATACTATTTGCTGTTTTTCTCCAATAAATAAAAATAAATGTCTGAACCATGTGTCTATCCTATTCCATATGGTGAAAATCAAGCAAGAAGAATATTGTATTGCATGTCTGACAACATCTTGACGCGTCATGAACCATTTTAGTGACACGCATATTTTCGACTTATCAAGGGGAATGATTTGCTGCGATATACTAACGTTCATGGTACAGCTCGGGTATAACGCAGTCTTCAGCTGGCGGCACAGTCACCCCTCACAGAGCTCAATCCGCCTTTCGGCTGCTTTCGTTGTCAACTAATCATTATACGTCTGCTCCAGGCGGCACAGTCACTCCTTAGCAGTGACGAAACTTATCCAAATTATTTCCATTTACTAACCATCCCACTGCTTGCGACCGCTGCTTGTGTGATTGGTTTGGACTCGGAAACAGGAGCCAATGAGACAGGCTTCATAAATGTCAATGCAAATATACAACGTCGGTTCTAGTAAGAGGCGCAAACCTTACCATGACTTAACATCATCGTATTGATCGAGGGGTCTTAGCGGCCCCTTCTCACTCTCCACCACCAAGATCCACTTAACCCACGTATTGTTGGATGTGGGCACCACAAGCAAGATGGGAAGGGTATGTCGGGATTGAATTAGTGTAGTTTACGCAGTTATAATTTGAGTAGCGCATGCAAATTTGTTACAGTACAAAAGCGAGATTCAAGAAAAAGAAACCTACTTACATGTTCGATACGTTTTGCCCTTTTACTTTTTATATGAATTATTAGTAACTTTCAGGGATAAGAAGTAGTAAGATGAGATTAAAATCAGACCCAGTCTAACTATTTACTGTGGTAAAGGTAAGCGGTATCTCAAGCGGTAACGTAACTAACGTTAGTTAACGTAATCCCCAAGCGAGCGAGCCACCTCAAAACATATAGTAAATGCGAGTAAATATGAATGTCTATCTCAACAACAAAATGTTATTTCTTCTTGATATTAAGAGAAGAGATTTATTAGTACCTTGATAGTATTATATGTGAGTCTCGGATAATTCAAATCATTTTCTATTTAAATTACAACAAAAATATACTGTAATTTTAACAATATTTGAATATATATATATCTCTCCACAAGCACCATATTAATAGGGCTAAGACTTATATAGTACAATAGGATAAATATACATAATAGAGTTATATAGCTAAATATAATTTTTAAACAATAAATGTTGAGATTTGAGATTGTATTTTATCGCATTTACTATATGTTTTGGGGTGGCTCGCTCGCTTGGGGATTACGTTAATATATCGGCTGACTAATTTTGGCAGAGGGTCTACGTCAGGGATTTACTGCCATACTGCCCCTTCCATGGACTACCTGGCACAGGAAAACCCAGTATCTGCTTTGCGCTTGCCGACTATCTTGATCTCAACCTTTCTATAGTCAGCCTAGGTGCGAAGAAGATCGATGAAGATGATCCCTTCAGACTAGCTCGGGCCCTCCCAGGTCGCTTTATACTCGGGAACGTGGATAAGGCAGGAATCAGGATAAGCAGCCCTCGCCCTAGGCACGTCAGGGAAGATTCCACGAGTGAGCCTGGTCAGATTTCCAGTAATTAAAAGCGCCAGCACCTCCGGGGACTATCCCATGTCACCCAGAGATTGTAGGTTTTAGGAAATTTGGTGGGAAAAGAAAATAGAAGAAAGAATACATTATAGAAGGAAATTGGGCAGCGCCCATGCCGCCTATTTATAAGTGAAGCGGTTATCATGTTATATCCAGAGAACAGCAGATATTGAGACCTCCAAAGATAGAGAGAAGAAGATACAAGAAAGGAGAAGATACACAAGGACTATCGAGATCCAACATCCGGCCCGCCTATTCCGAAAAGGTGACGGCATGTGACAGCAGTGGCTGCCTCCAGGGCTGTATTTAGACATATTCTGTACGAGACGCTCGAAGTGGAACGTTGAAGAATACCAAAGCAACGAATCCCTCGTCCTCGTTATACAATAGGGACGACCGACTTAAAGAACCACACGGTAAATAGGCGATTTTCTTAGGCTTTGGCATAGATGTATATCTTTGATCAATCAAAATTATTGCAATAAAGAAACATCCTTCAAGTGAAATATACGCGAACTTTTTGGTGTTTTTTTTTTTTTTTTTTTTTTTGGTTGAATGCTATGACGTCTCTAAACTCGCGGGCCAAGATATTTGATTCTGTGATACAGGAGGATCCTGGTCACGTATGCCTATCAATCACCACGGCAATACTCAGTATAGGTCCTAGTGATACTTCAACACAAAGCAAATAGACAGCTTGTTACTTAATATTTTCTCTGAGAAGGCTACTCCTTTTCGGCGGGGTACAGCTTGGATAGAACCGCGATGGGGGAAATGATTCCAGATAAAAGTCAACCACGCACCCTATATTTCATCCTACAAAACAATGAATCGTCCAGATCCAATGGAATGTTTGCAATCAAGATAATGATTTTGTTTTGACAGGTGGATAGACGTTGCCACTATACCCTTCGCCACTGAGTGTATGGTGATTCGACGCAGATATGGACAAGAGTCAGGAACAAGGCAACAAGCAACAGAAGGACACAAGTTCGTAGTAGGTTCGGCCTCTGTTGGGTCCTGCTTTGTCGTCATCTATGCCAGGCGATGTAAATCCCCCGGTGGGCCTTGATCAACCATCCTAGGTGCTGACATAGGTCAACCCCCGAAGCAATCTAGCCATTGCGTCCCCAATCCACCCAGAGCTCCCGAGGTCGAGCTGAACCGGGAGTGAATACTGCCCTACGAAGAAAATGACAATAGCCCTAAAATGCCCCAATCTGTCACTATATAAACCCCGAGGGTCACCCTCAACCCCCTGCGTTCACTTCATTCTATTCTTCCTCGCGCGTTCCCTCTGGTTCTTGCTCTCCAACCAGTCCCAGCCCCTTGGTGCGATTTAAGAATCTATTTTAACCTAAAACAAAAAGAAAATGGCTCAGAGGTAGAACAAATCCCCACTTCAAATCGTCCAGCCAGGCATCTTTGTCCTAACTTGACAGTCTCCTGGCTAGGATTTTCACCGACGATTCGTCCAGCCTCGCGCAAAGGTTCTGGCCTGCAGGGCGGAACGGGCAACCCAAGAGAAAGTCGACGATAAATGAGCAGTTGCCCACGAAAAGACCGCGACCAGGGCCCTATCCCCAAAGCGCAGCACGTTACCCCGTGTCTGGTTCGACGTTCAATAGCCAGCCTGTGGAATGGAGCAACTGTATTGGGCACCAGAATTTGTACCATAAGTCATCGGCCAAACGAACGACCCAGCCTCAACCCTCTGGGGTATCAATGAGACCTTCCTACACCCAATGTGGTCAGGGCAGCCGGGAAGGTCCACGCTGCTTATCCTGTATTCAGCGCCTGGACGAGGTAGAGAGGTGCTGCGGCTACTCCAAGTGTGTTATCTCTCCCCGCGCAGGGCTACCCGGGCAAGGGTGAAAGTGAGGCTGTCGGCCGCTCTGTTTGGGACTCGATGAAACTATCACAACCCGCTACAGGGTCTTCATCCTCGGTGGACAGATCTTCAGTAAACGCTCCACCGCTGGACGCCGGTCGATACGACCCAGTCGTGATCCATGATGAATACCCGGTCCTTGAAACCGATCATGACCTTTCTCTCATCAGGCCATATGAAGTGGAAGAGTTCGACGATCCATTCATGGGTCCTCAAGGGCTGGAAGATATAGAGGAGACCATGTCCGAGTGAACTTAATATCAATTTATCGTTCTTGCCTGTAAGCAGCCGTGACGCTACTCCGGCTTCATCGACTGTGCTCTACGCGGAGCAATGGATACCTACTTTCCAAGGTTATTGCTCTTTTATTTTTGAAACACTTTGATTCAAACAGCACTTAATATGACTTGTTTTTCTTTGTCCTGGTTCTTTTTTTTTTTTTCTTTTTTTTTTCTTAATAAAACAGTTTTACAGAATGGAAGCAGCAGGAAGCGATGGCTATGTGCGGCATGGATACCACAAGCCCCTTTTTGGGGGCCTTGACTCACTCGGGTCTCAGTACGGTTTAGTAATATATATCATTTGCATCCCTATCATATCAAAGCACAACATAAATAGATTGACAGCTAGGTTGAATCCTTGGCCTGAGCACACCTACCCTCGACTGGCGGACGAGGGAGGTGTTCTTTCGTCTGCTCGGCGATGTCATAGGATACCCTTGCGCGTCCCATTTTCCTTTCCTCTACAAGATGAGCCATGGCGAGCCCGCTTGCATATCCATAGCATACGGATTATACATAAATTCCCTTACACCGGCAAGATCGCACTCCGAGTGGCGGAAGAATCTACCTATGAAGGCCCGTGGCCAGAGAAGAGTAGGCCCACGGGGCGAGTGGATTATATTCCACCGCAACTACAAATTATTTTTCATGATAGTTATTCTGCTGCCAAAGGTCCTTTCGTGTTCTAGGCCTGGGGTCAAGATGATACGTTGTATAGATATTGTTTCCTGGCCACAGGTTTCATCTAAAAGTAGGAGATCGGGCATCTCCGAAGTCACGCATGGGTGGTAATAATACGTATCGGCTTCAATTTCAGACAGATGCGGGGGGCCGTAATTGAGAGAGGGGACTCTGGTGTAGATCTCCGAGAGGCTAAAGTAGGATAGACGAGAGAACCAGTTGGAAAGCATCTGTGGACCGGACTTTGGAGGCCGCGGTAGATCCTTTTCGACCAGGTTCATGTTGGACCCACCGCACATGAGTTCTTCGCCGCTGGAGGGGCACATCTGGGCTGGTTGGCAGCGGCCAGCGGGGTTGAAGGAATAGGGTATTACTGGCCTGGTCGCCCCGGCTGGCGCGAGACCAGCGAGAAGGGGCCGGATTGCGGTGTTGAGTGAAATGTGGTAGACGGCTACCACTACGAGGAACACCAGCATGAGGATGGTCGGCCCCAGAGCGACCGGGTTCGCTGTGGCACCCATAGCGAAGACGCCAATTAAGCAAAGGATCAGAAGGTAGCAGCCTGTCGTAATATGCTGCAGGGCGCAGGCAAATCCAAGCCCCTTGGTATCCACAGTCGTGTGCAGCACACACAGCGCATTGTAGCGATATGCAGAATAAAACAGAGACATCCCGATTGCCCCGAAACCGAGAACCAGCGGTGCCACACAAGAATACGCGATCCCTAGGGAGAGTGTGAGGACCCACAGAGGCTTCTCTCTAGAGTAGGTTTCGGGCACACATACCGATAACCACAAGAAGAGAAATACAGGGATAGATAGTGCCCCATTGCAGACCGTCAATTTGAGACAGCCGATGGTAGAGCTGCCGGGGGCGTTTGCTAACGAACCGGTCCCAAATCTTATTCTTGGCGAGTTTGGTGATCTGAAGGAGCGCCCCAGGACTGAACGCAAGCCCCTGTAGTATAATGTATGAGATGTAGAAGTTGGACGTCCGAACGATGTTTTGCGCGAGGAGTTTCACCACGCCCTGGGGTTCCCGCAGGATACTCGCGACCACACTCGAGGCGGACGTAGCCAGGATAAATACTAGAAATACCTGGGTGGTTTGAAAGGCGAAGTACCAGTTCTGGGTCCTTAGCTCGACGCTCGCTAGAGTCGGTGCCCCGCTCCACCGAGCCATCACTAGTAACCTGTTAGCCGTCACATTTCATATTGCTTTGGCCACGACGTGGACACGTACGACGAAAAATGACCGGGACCACGGCGAGTAAAGCCGCTAGAGCTATAGAGGGGAGGAGACCTATCACCGACCCCCGAAGCCACCCTGGGACGCGATCAAGGAATGTCAAAAAGGGGATTGCCCGCTCTAGAAACGCGAGGTTCGAGACCAGGCTCACAATGGTAGTCGGGACGGCCCAGAAGGTGATCATCGCAATGCTTATTCCCACGGCAGCAAGAGACCGTAATGGCCGCGCCCACCATCGGATCCCTAGATTCTTCCAAACAACCTGGTTTGGCTGGAGTCCAATATACCGTGGCCACATTTGTAGCGGTAAGGGATACCGGACTATTTCCTGGTCAGCGCCTGCGCCGACATGGTGGGAGGGAAGGAGGCGACCGTGCCCGTCGGGCCATACACCTACTAGTTTGATAGGCATTCAATGCATCCGATAGCCGAGAGAATTCCACAAACATCGAGGGCAGCCGTTTGGCCCTTTCCCGACGATGGGTACACTGCAGCTTCCTGATTTCCGGCTGCAGACGTCGAAGTTCGGACCACGCCCACTCCATGCTTTCCACCTTTCGGCCCACGATCGGCCTTGGCCGATGCATTGGCAGCTGGCCTTGCGTCCTAGACTGTGCCTCTGCCGCTTCTAGCTTCTCAACTATGCGGAGCCTCTCTTTTACCTTGCTCTCCAGAGCCGTTGTATCCGTGCCGAACCAGACTCTCCTGACTGTGGTCATGTCAAACATCTCGTTTATCCGCGTGGGATGATCCGTATATGTTTTTGGGACCGACAGGAAGAGGACGGTACGAGACGAAATGTGATCTGCATATGTAGGAGAGCGGAACATCCCCTGGCGAAGGTGGATCAGAAATAGATTCTCACGAGTAATGATGGCAAAAATAAAACCTGCAAACCTCGTTAGACCGTCGATGAGGGCGTTTCCTGGGTAGGGGGAGCTCACCCACGAAGGCCCACGAGATGAAGCAATGTGCGTAGTATAGCGAGTAATCTGCCGCGGCAATGTTGGAGATGCCCAGCATGTCCAGCTGGGATCGCCCACCCCGACCGGCAACATGCATGGGAATGAGTACTGGCCAGGTCAAGCCGGCGCCAACGAGCAGTATCACTATGACCACTTTCAAGTACCGCAGCAGCAAATATGCATCCATGGAATGTTGTTTCAGGAACTCGGTATCCGGGGTTTCATACATGAAGCGAATCAAACCCCTTAGACGACTTATGCGGCAATGTCGAGGCCACGATGAAAAAAAAGTCCGGGGCATGTAGACGGCACGCGCATGCCGCCGGATAATGAGGAACAACCCAACCGTCACGGCACATAACAGTAGACTAGGGACTAGCGTGACTACGAGCCCCGAAATTGTATTAGATACTTCGGCTGCCTGCCACCCATCAGTATGCCTGTTCTAGAGATCTACCCTCTATGCTGACCAACCGACTGTGTAATATGGCGATCGGAATCCATGACAAAAGCTCGCTCCAGCTACCTAGGCACCCGTAGAGTGAGATGGGCGGGGGAGCAGAGTTCTCACTTTAATCTGTCCCGTTGCAGTAATCGATGTCATATATAGACATCGGCAGGCTTGGCCGTTTATGATCTAGCATTCCTAACAAAGAAAACAGCGTATTTCAGGCATGAGCTACCACCTTCGCTAGATCTGGTAGGCTACCTAATAATAGCGTTTAGTGGGCCCCTCTGCGTACGTAATGTCTTACTGTTCATTGGCACCCAATTCAGGATAGGGACGGGGAACGTGAACATCCCCATACCATTGATTAGCGCCACCACCACCACCACCATAACGGCAACATTCGCAGCACTATCTCACAAAAGTAATACATCATCACCATATTCCATGAAAACCGAAAAACCACCATGCACATGCTCAGATTTAAACAGGCTGCGATTCTAGACCTCAATTGCTGCATTTTCGCCGTGTAGGAATAATCATACTCGTAATTGAATCCCATCGTGGTCTTCACTTTGGAGGTATATTTCTGGTGCGTCACTCAGCCCGTTGGGTTGCTTGTATATAAGACGGATTGGTCGTTAGGTAGTTGATGATCTCGGCCGGCCTAGGATAGGAATCGATAGGTGACACCCCTTGAATTCAGGCGCAGGGATGTGTATACAATGGATGAATACTTATAGGATATTGCCATGCCGGGTCATTTGCAGTTTGCTTGCCGAACGTAGGAAGCTCTTAAAATAGGAGGACGCCGCACCTGACGAGCAATCACCTTATTCCATGGCCTTGTCGTCTACATCAACATAGCAGACCACAACTAAGCTCACCTAAAAATAGCAAAGGGGAGATATATCAACCCACACAGCGCCCTCCCCACTAGAAACCTAAACTTAGAACTTCCCGAATTTTTAGTAAGCTCGATTTTGTTTTGCCTGACTAACTATCGCTGATGGACCTAGGTACGGGCGTTGGACCTTGCTGTCCAGGGCCGTGACAGATTGCTTCTAACGAATCAGACAGTTGAGCAATTCCAGCTCCCTACCACATTTCGCCCTTGGCAATTCAGTTTCAAGAAAGGGAGCGCAGGTCGTTTGATGAGAGTCTTGGGAGCGCCTCGGAACCCAGATCGTGAACCATCCCCTCCTCGGCTTTAGACGCCAAGAGATAGGTTTGAAACGGTACAGTATACCACTACCACCTTCTGCACGAGAAGGGTAATAGGCACTAGAAACGCTAACTTCAACGTGATTCAATGTCTCCAAGTGCTTACTAGGCTTTAGGTATATTATAGTGTTAATTATAGAAATGGAATTTGTAGTTCCTTTCCGAATTCAGACAACGACAGTAAATTATCTCCGGTGATGATGGATGGGCAAGAGTTTTGCTGAACAGGTGCAAGTCTAAATTCTTGTTCGAAGTTGCCCCCCTCTCCCTTCCGCGGAAATAGATAGCGACACCATTTTTGGATCAATTTGAAACAACTCGATCAATGCAGTCCCGGTGGTCATTCCAGTCCTGCCGGCCCTTTCAGCCCTACATGACTACGATCGATCAACTTCAGGCACGGATCGAGTGGTAGCATCTGCCACACCAGTTTTGGGTCAGGCTGAAAAAGCTCGACAAGTTCTGCCGTCCCTCTTAGTCTCGCTGGCTATAAGTGACTTCAACCAATACAGGAAAGCCGAGAACAGCCCGACCATGGGGGCCAGCTGCATAGTGGGCGCAAAGGAACAACCCGAAGAGCGTGAGGCGCCATCCGTCATACCTGGCAAGGTCGAGAACGAGAATAACACGCCACACAATAGAGCGGAGAATATAGCACAGGTAAGAGCACTATAGAGCTCATGGCTGTCAGAACTGCGATCGTCCTAGAAACTTAGCATCCTATTTTGCAGACTACCGAACATGAGAATCGAAACTCGGCCGAGGACCCATTCCAGCCGGTGTTTCAGATCCTGCAGCAGCTGGAGCAAGAAGATCCAAAGTTGGCTTCGCAGGGCGCACGGCTGTTGGGTCTATATCGGCGCATGTGAGAATCATTTGTTTCCAAGCATGCCGATATCCAGCGACTTGAAGATGCCAACCATGACCTGCGCACTAATAACGATCAATATTTTCATGAAGCAGAACACTTGAAGCGCCGGCAAGGCGACCAGCTAGCTAGGCTGCACTTCTTCGAACAAGCGTTGGAGGAATCTCGGCGGAGACTTCTTGGAATCCTGACAGAGTGGAATGCCATTTCAGCGGGCGAATTGGCCCTCCTAGCAAGGTTCCCAAACGTCTGATAATCCAGATCTACCCGAGGCTTCAAGTAGCCTTCCCAGATAAAGTGAAAACATTGTATTAAAATCCAAGTCATAAATAAATCCATTTGTTTCATCATGCCTTTGACTATGGCCCTATTTCGCCCTCCAGAAAAGCCTTACAAGCACCTGGAATCATCGTGCCTCAGTCCCATTTACACGATTATATGATCAATAGTGTCAGGTTCATACATGTAGTTATGACTAAAAGTTGGGTCTGGTTCGGTTAGCATAGGCAGGGAAAGTCGTACGGATACGATTGGAGGAATACAGTACTCCTTGCAGCAACGGCAAACAGCCCCATACTGTTCCGGTAACCGCAATGACTGCCGAGATTAGTGCCATTACAAAAGCGTAGTACGAGGCGTATTGTGTTGGGAGTCGAGCTCGAGAACCAGCCGTCGTTTGTCCGGCCAGCAACCAGTACCAAGTAGCCATACCCAGGTAATCTAAGAAAAGAACTTAGAGCACTACCAGATGAAACGTGGCTGCCAGAAATGTCCCCACTAGGTCCGTAGCAATTTTGAGCAGGCCTGATAATGCCGCAAAGAGAGGATAGGCCACTTACAGGAATTGCGGCAACCCTTGGAGCTGACGTTGCTGGATAATTATTCGATAGTACTACTAGCAGCAAGTGAAGAACAAAGTGCGTACTTTAGTCTCGTACTTTAGTCTCAGGAATACATAACTGACCCCTTGTAACGATGGCAACGCTGTAGCAAGACCTGCCATGATTTCCATTCATGCAACATGTGCCTCACTCCAGCCAAGACCCGTGAAGATAGCCACTATGATACATTGTAAAGCGGATGAGGCTCGGCACACCCTCTAATGTAGCCGATTCCCCTGAAACGTACGACAAGCCAAGCCAACTCGGATGGAGCTCAAGAGCAGCAGAGGTGTAGCCAATACCGAAGGGACAATGGACCGAGATGTCATACTGAGCCACGCAGACAGTTGAGGATGCAGGGTTTTCTCAGAGAAGCGAAGCGGAGCCTAATTCTAACCGCACCCAAAATACTCCCGCGGCATTACCCTGTCTCACAAGCCACTCAGCCTGGGTAATAATCCCGGCATGGTGTGAGAGCTGCAATTTTACACAAAACCAAAATGCAATCTGGGCCAAGTGGAAACCCGGATTTGAGAGACGCTTGCCGCAGAATTCGGAACGCCTCTTCGGTCCCTGAATGACCCAAAGCAGGGTCAGTAAGTGGCAATGTCAAAATTGCCGGCAGATAGGCTGGATAGACAGAGCCGAGCATATCTGGAAGTCCTCGGAGTATCTGCAGGTGCTCATCCAACGAATAATGGAAATGTTTCAAGCGTGGTTCATCAGCAAGATGAATGACCATCTGGAAATGTTTCTCTTTCTCGATGATATGACGATGACCATATAGCACGATCTCTGCACGCCGATTGAGTAGGTCTCCTTCAAGAAGAACCAGCTTGTTCTTCGGCCCATAAAAAGCATCCAATGTTTTGAGTTTTGTCAATACGAGCATTGAGGTCCTTTTGACTCCATCAAGCCATATTGGCCGAGAGTAGACTTCAGACGAAGCCGTGTCATCTCCGCTTCGAGTGCTGGAGACCCGTTTTGTATGACATGGGTATGATCCTTTGCATCCAAAGTCTGCAAACCCTCAGCCACGCTGTGAAATAGCTCCCTCCCGATATCAGCTAGCATTCGATTGCCCTGTCGCATCAGCGATCCCCGTGAGGAATCAGGGCTGAATGACAGCTGCCAGTTTTGCGAGCAAGAATTCCATGGCTGGTCGAGCGGGCGAAACTCGGGGACTCGCTTATCCAAGTCAAACCATTGAAAGAAGTCTGTTGAAAAGCTTGTCGGGAGTTCTGGACGCATAACATCATGAGGAATCAGCTGGAGAGTTTGCGAATCCTTTTTCGCCTTCAGTAACAATTGGCCATCCCTTATTGTAAATAAACCTGTCGCCAAGGTGAGCATAACCCATATCCAAAGCAATAAATAGATAGTGACTGACATCGTAATCGCGGATCTCTTAGGCGGACAAATAAGGGGGGCCCAAAACCTTGGACGGCACGACAGGAATCGTTCTCTGCATAGATGAATATCAGTATATAACCATTCACCACTGCGTTCATGCGCCATCTTACCGAGGCACAAGGACGTTTGTACAAAGGTTCTACCAGAACCTCCTTCGGAAAACGTCCTGGTGGATAGCCAGCCACCAGGAGTTCACCCGTCAAGGGGTTTTAACGAACAGCCTGTTTTTCATCCTCGATTGTTGTCTCTGTGTTTTTGTAGCCGTCTCTTGTCCTTGGAGTTCTCGGTCCAGCTTCCAGTCATCTTCAACGAGCTCCCACTTTTTTGGATGGCATCATTCCTCCCTGAAGGGTCTTTGGTGATGAAACCAAGCATCCTTTTCTCCAGCCTATGGCGAACCTTCTCCACACTGATCAGGGTAGCCCTAATATCGCATGGCAATGAGTCCAATTCTGGCGGTGGGGTTTCCCGGAGAATGACCGAGGACCGGATGAGGCAGGAAAGATCCTGGGAATCCTGAAGCATCGCAGCCATGTGCCTGCATTCGACGTCGTAGGTAGCCTGGCAGATAATTGCAATTCGAAGAAGCAAATGCTGACATCCTTTGCTTTCCAACCCAGCGAGGCGGTAAAGATCTTATTTAGTTGCTCGAACCACTTACTCGCCACTTCACGGCAGCGACATAAGAAAGATACCACCTGCTCAACGCTGGGAGCACCCTTCGAAAGGGAAAGAATGCGAAGGCCAATTGTAACGATGGTATCGAGACTGCAATGTGCATTCCAGCTTGACTCAATAGTTGCCAGTTTGCCATCCAGTGTCTTGAGAAGTTGGTCGCCAAACCCAGGATCTTCAAATATCTGGTGAGCTTCTCTTCTAGGCGTCGTTGGGCAGTGTTACGGCAGCAAATAGCCGCAATCACGAAAAAATGACACAAGCCATATATTATTTCTGACCGCTTTAAGCTCCGCCTTTATCAAACATCTCTAAAACTATCTTGACCGCTATTTTCATCCTTTCATCTTTTCTCTGTTATACGAGCATATATTCAAAAATACTGATTGTGTCATTTTTTGACATAATCAGTATTTAAGGCAGGGATATCTGGTATATTTTCTGGCAGTATGACCAGTTTCTAATAGGCTTCGCAGTGCTAAGGCTATATTAATGCTCTTCTTATTTAGTCTCGTGGAAGCCCCCTCGTACGCCTAACCTTATGTGGTCGATAAGCCGGAGCCGGAGCCCGAGGTTGTCGAGATATCGGATGATGATAAACCCCCCTGTTGCGGGAACCGCCTCCTGTGGTTTCGCGAAGATAAGGTATAGTAAGTATCGTTCGATTCTTTTTTTAGGTAAAGTATACTAGTAATTTATGCAGAAAAACCTTAAAAAAAATCTAAAAAAATAAGACTGTAAGCGGGCTTTTTTTTTTTTTTTTTTTTTTTTTGGTATATTTTAAGGTAAGTCTTCCTATCTTTTACCCTCGTACGGTAGGTCTAATACTAACATAAAGGTAATTATATAGTAGGAGTTCTTTATTTATCCCCTGCCATCTATATAAATACTAATTAGGGGGATTTTCTGCTAGATAAATACTGATTATGTCATATTTCCATGTTGCCTTGCCATGCTTTCGTTTTGAGTTCGGCCACAGGAATCGACCGTGTCTTGTAAAATCGAATACGGACCAGGTGGAAGCGTAAAGGTACACTAGCCTTTCACGGTTGGTTCTGTATTCTGATCTATCACCTAAGCACGCTTCGGGCTATCCAGAAGCCGGTAGTTGAGTCCACTTTCTGGACACAAGCTGTTGAAGTCTGGAATAGTAATTGGGAGTGCGTTATAATGCCTTTGGGCCCACAGCTTGGTGGTTGATCCCAGAGACAACCTCTGCTGATGCCGAATCGGGAACTCCTTGGTTACCTTTGAACCCACCAACTTCAGATGGAGGTTGCCCGCCACTCTCGTCTCGCGCATTCCCGTATCATGCAAAAGCATCCAGGTGGCATCTCGCCATCATAAAAACCATTCTAGGGCCCTCAGCTCAAACACCACACACAGCCTTCTGCATATTGGAATCTATTGGAAGTGGCCACTCATGGACGTCAATACTGAGATTGCTATCTTGGTTTTCAGTGTGCCTTTTGTGCATGGGCCTTTGGCATGAGACTTCTTGCCGTTATTGCTCCAGGTGTAATGGTGTTGAGACTGTTCAGAGGCCTCAGATAATTTACGATATTGCAGTGACTTCTCTCCCCATTGTTTCTTCTTTTCGATCCGGGGTGTTGCCGCAGCCTGTTTGATCTTTGATAGAAGCCTTTGGTGTTCTCCGCTGCCGTCGAAATATTGAACGGCAAATGCCCGGGATTAAGGATCACTGAAGATGCTTGGGTTTTGGCCATGTGTCCCCTCGTGTCTAACGCGAATGTATTCCTCTCCATTGGCCGCCCATTACATCTGATTCAATTGTGGAAGAAGAAGAGGCTCGAGCAAGTCCGCGGGAATCTGCGGTGGGGATACCTCTAGTAGCGGCTGCAAAGAGATGCATGCCTGGTCCAATGCGACCCAGAGCTCTAGCATCACTAGAATCATGCCAGACAGCTCTCGTGGATTGTTGGCATAGGCTGCCTGAGCCGAATCTTCCATGGTCATTTAATGGCTCGGAGAGCTTACAGCTCACAGGGACCGGGGGCTCAGTCTTTTGAAGCCAACTAGCCAGCTCCCCAGCAACCCATTTTCAAAGTCGGCCAATGATGTCAGGCTCCCGTCCTGAACAGTAGGAAGCCCCAAGTCACCGGACCCTTTGCGCCGTTTATGGGTGGGATTGAAATCCTTGCCCCAGGGCTTCGGCGGAGAGTAGGAAATTGCGTCTCGCATATACTTCGTAGAGCTTTCCAGGGATATGCGGCTATCATGACTGGACGCAGAGTGGGGATTATGAGGAATAGCAATGATATCGGAGTCGATAACGCCCTTTTGGATGCTTTTCAGGTCATCCCCGTGGCCATTCATTGTTGCATGGTCGTAAGCGTGGCTGGTGTTCCGAAGGGCTCTTTTCAAGGAAAGATACCAAGACATCCTCGACCATAGCCAGCAGCCTAGCTTCAAGGCGTGGGGCATTCGGCTCTCTTGCCTGCGGGAGCTTGGGAGGAGAAATAACATTATGAAACAGGAAGAAGAAGAAACCCCGATCCATATCCATGGCCCGCACTTCTCTTGGAAAGAAAGTGAAGACTTTGATGAACAGAGTCAAAGATGGGAATGAAGAAAAGAGATCAACCAACGAGAGAGTGAAGATGATAAGTGAGGTTGATTGGAATGAAAGAAGATAAAGGCAGTAGAGAGAATAGTAACAAGACAGTGAAAGCTTGAGTCGCGAGTAGATGTAGATGGTCGGAGTTGAAAGGCAAGGAGAGAGAGAGTAGACGAATGTCTTTCTGCAGCGGGGATTCAAGTCTTGAGTCTTTGAATTCAAGCAACAGTTTTTGAAAAGTCCAACATAACGGTTCCTCAAAAGGTCTTAGACGGCCCATAGGTCTCTTTAGCGGTGCCCTGCTGGAAAGGAGCAAACGTCGACGCCAACGCACGCTTTCCTCGCTCCGAGGACCTTGCCAAGGGGAGAGAATCGGCTGAAAGAGAATGTGCTCACGGATGTCGCCCTGAGCATCTAGAGAGGCACCATTCCCAATCATCCAGTCCAGCTTTCTGTTCGAATCGGCACGCAGAAACGCGTCGCGAAATAACTTGTCGATCCCACCCGGAACCTCTCGATAAGAACTACCATGCTGCGTCAACCAGTTCAACCTTGATTCTTAACCGTTCCCTTGAGCTGCGCACTCAACAATATCGCCACAAGAACCATATCTCAATGATGCTCCATGGTCGACTAAAACTGTTAGATCTGGTGTTAAGCCGTTCTCGCGGTATGCGAATAATAGGGCATGGCGTCGAGATAGAGAAGATATAAAAAGACATTTGTTCAGTTGACAGTTTCAGCCATTCGTTCAGCTTATGTCGAGTCTCTTGATGGCCTTTAAGAGGGACGTTAGAGCTTGACAGTCGAATACGCGACAGGTTATTTTTTTTTTTTGGCAAATTGCGCGAACTCGCAAATGATCCTGAAGGCCGAGATTCATTGCGATCAAATGCAAGATCTCTGGGGGTAGAGTATTGAATTGGCGTAGTGCGAAAATTCTATGGTTCTTGCTCAAATGAACCTATCGCCTAAACGTACACAAGGATTGAAATGTCCTTCGACAGTGTGAGGACCAAGTTGAGCAGCAGACGGACGGCGCGTACGGAGAAGCTCCCATATTAACAATGAAGACATAATGAAGACATCAGGCGACGTGCCATTGCATGGGCGTAAATTAGTAGATTGGCTCCCAGGATCTGAATACGATATACCGTAGCTCATACAAGTGTGATACAGGAGCAAAAGTTTTGCTCGGTATTTGGTATCGTACCGTGATACTGCCTACAGTAGAGGTTATTTTAGACAAGAGTAACCGAAATAGGTATAGAGCAGTTTACTTTTTAGAATTCAAGAATGATTTGAAGCGAATAAGTGGTGAACCCAATTTTGAGCGGATCCGTATATTAGCAGAGAATTAACGTATTGGGTGAGAGTATTGAATAAGATGTTTCGCAAGCTGACCACCTATATTAAGCCTAGCGTGGCTCTGAATGGACAGCTTGACGCATAAACAAAGAGAACTGATAGTAAACTGATTTCGATCCGTCCTGTGTCATACTTATGAGATCCTAACTTATCAATCGACTCTATCTCAAGATATCCGCTACGCTCTTCTAGTGGGGTGAGACTGTAGAAGTTTTACCACTTATTCGTGACCGCCCGATGTAGTGTACTCGGTATTTGCTTGAATATCCAATTCTCTCCTTTTGACACTTTTAATAGGTCGTTGAATTGTGAAGACTGTGCGTGTTGTTTCGCTCCTAGGAACTACTGGCTGGCGCTCGGTAGCGTAATCTGCGGCCCTCTTCCCGCAGGGTTCATATTACTTGAAACAAGACCTGACTCGTAGAAGTCTATCTAGTCGGGTTTTTGTACTGTGGATCAATTGTGGTAGTCCCGGTGTAAAGTCCCGTAGGTGCATCGTGGAATTCTCACAGGGCTTACACTGCATAATCATACTGATATAGTCTTTTGGTGACGATATAACTAAACTTTGATTTTTGGTTGTAAGGTGTCAGGTGTGTTCACGTGCGATTTGACACCATAGATGTTGGGCGTTGAAACAGAGCGAACTGATCCATACACTTGCGCCAGTACAGTAATAGGCCCATATTTACAGCCACCATTATCACGTGATCCATCGAATAACATTAATAGGCCAGCCAGGCTCTTCCAGCTGTTCTTATCACTCTCTCCTCCATCCTCCGAAGCTGTTCTTACCAGTCTCACAAATATGGGGGCGCACCCTGCCCAGAAACGACCAAAATCGTGGATTGATATGCCCCAGGAGATCAAGCAAATGATACTCTGCCTGCTTGACCCATTCACGCTGTCTGTCTTATTAGCAGCTATGCCGGACATAAGGCCTCTAGCGGATCGGTTTAAGAGAACAAGAAACTTCAAGACACTCCCAATAATGGCTGAGCTGCTCGCCTCAGCTCAGCCAGTACCGAACCCATCAATACGTCCGTTTCACAAGCCGTTTGAAGATTTTGTTAGTTGTGGTGACGGCAGATACTTGAGTTTCAAGTCTGATGGTAGATCCCACATTTGGTACTGGGACTTCAAAAGATTCCCACATACACAACCCTGGAAAGCCGAGGAATGGAAATCAGAACCTGAGAGCATCGGGGTCGCGGGAACTATGTCGGTCACGGTGTGGCCTAGAAGGCGGGGTCGTACAGCTTTCTTCAATGTTCCAGAGCTTCTAAACCCAAGGATCTTTGACTGCGGAAGACTTTGCCTTGGATACGAGAAGCCAGAACCAGGGCCTTGGAGGCTTGTTGTCCGCCAAGTCTCAGACTGGGATTTGGTTGCAGAGCAATCCACACCAGACTCTTCCGAGCATGCATACGTGCTTGATGGTGATAGCGACCTGGTCGTTCAATACTCACCGACACATGGTAGTATTCGCATATGGAATCCTCGCCGCAAGAGACTCTGGGAAGTACAACATTCAAATGCCACCCGTTTCAACTGGCCATGCATCCTTCATGGCCAAAAAGGTTTCATAACCACCTCGAAACCGGATGCATATGACGATTTACACATCATGAGTTGGAGAAATATTGTTTGGCAAGATAGCGCTGAGCCCTCTTATATGGAGCAGCGGGATTTCGGCCTTTCCTTATCATATCTGTTTCCCAAAAATCTCGTCAACGGCCAATCTATTGGGAATTCCTATTTGGGGTGCACGCAAATCCATGAAATCTGTCGGAATGGTATATTGTTTTCCCGGCCATTTGATTCTCCTCTCGCGGTGACATATATGGGCAAAATGATGGAGTTTGACAGCCTTGAAAGAGGTTTTTTGGATGAGTTTTCCGACGGCACTTACGTTCTTCGCACCGATGACCTTCAAATGATGAAGGATGACGAACAGATATGGAGGCTTGAAGATGGTAGGCAGTGCTGCGGCGCTATGATTTACCGGGATGCTTTTCTTATTGTTGTGCATTGCGATAATTACCGAACGCTCCCTTCCAAAGTCATCTTCCTAAACATCAACGGAGACTTGGTTTATGAATTCCAGTTATCCTGGAAGTACGGAGGCGACGAGATACGTCTCCTCGAGGAGGAAGGTAAAGTCATTATTCTTGCAGATGACTTGTCAGAAGCTACTGTCTGGAGGTTTTTTTGATCCTGCCCCATCTGCCCCATCGACCAAACGGGCAAGCGAAGGACAGGACCGCCATTTTTTGAGACCTAGGAAAAGGGGAAAACTAGTGTGAAGGATTGGGGTGGTAGCCATCAGCTCAAAATCGGAGAACTCGAAGATGGCTAGGATTAAAATAACTTGGCCTTCTGGGTCTTGAATCCAGTTTTCTCGATGCTTATGATACAGGTTGGATCGAATTTCGTTTCACCTCATCTTTCTCGAACCCTATTCCGCGATACAGGCTTATCAAGTTCGGGCTTAATTGGTATTAAGTTACCGAATCGTATTGAAAGTAACTATCATGTGATACAAGGTTATATTAATTACCCTATACTACCCTTAAGAATATGGACCAAGGTATATATATTTTATTCAGCGAGGCACACACAACGTCTCACTGTATTGCCCTTCTCTTTGGCTTAAGGTCTATATCGTGGCAACGTTCGCTCTTTCCGTTCCCTCAAAATACCTCTACAAGCTAAGTGAGTGTTGCGAATTTTTGTGTCTTTTCGTTCTATGTTGGCTAAGGTCCTGAACAATCATTGTCAGAACCTTATATATTAAATATACATTCAAACATTACAAGTCGCCATCCCCTATCGTTTGCGCCGGCAAACTTCTATTCTGTATCAAACTGCAAGAGGGGTAGACAAGTATAGAAGTTTGCGAAAGACTCAGAGAGGATATTGGACTGCATATCTTACAGTACAGGGCTGTTATATATAATTATAGACGTGGGCTAAGGGCTATAGCAGCATACAATATAACACTGGTGCCCACCCTCGCAAAAAAAAAGCCTCTAGAGATGTAGATGCCGGGGTTGCAAGCCCAGATCCTGGACTATACAAAAGAGAAAGGCTGTTTTGTTTTGAAGCCCGTACGGCTCTGGTCTTTCGTGGCTGGCTGAGTGGAAGTGAGCTTTACCTGAAGTAGGCCCTTCTACGGTAAACAACGGCATAATGAACTGGCGGGAATTGTTGACCGCCTAGTTTAAAAGCGCCGTTAATCCTTTGAACGGCGGCGTTCGTTGGCAGAATAAGTTCGATAGAGTTGTTGAAAGAGAAAGAAAGAAAAAACATTGGAGAACTCAATTTTAAAGGAATCTTTTTTTTAAAAAAAAAGCCGTTGAAACAATCATTTTTAGCGAGTCAATGAACGAACTGGTATAGAGTCAGCGAAGAGAGCTGTTGACGGGAGTTATTAGCAGAATTCTTGTCAAAAGGTTATTGATGAGAGCACTGTTGAAGGTACATATTGGGAGATTTCGAACAATTGGGTTTGTGCTGATCAGCACCTCTAATACATAATACGTGGACTTGGTGGATTTTAAGGACCTAAATAAACTTGTAATAGCCGGCGCCTGAGATATAAAACCGCTGATCCCTACTAATACTCCTTTTCGCTCCTTACAGCTCCTGCGACCGCAGGCTCAGAAATTATCCGAAAATCTTTGAGTGCATGGAACGACACCTGGGCTCTAGAGATCGACCTGAGATGTGGGTTTTGTTTATTGTGCCTCATCATACAAAGACAAGCATAATTCCCAAACCAGACGCCCTTGCACAAACTCTGACGCCCTTAGTTCCTACCTGCTACAACCATCGATCCTGAATACGCATAGATTGCATAGCAACCAGACCAATATCTGCAATATGTTGCCTGATTTACCAAATGAATTGTGGTTGATAATTGCAGAGCACCTGCAGTTTCCAAAATACATGAACCCACTTATCCGAACAAACCGTCACTTTTACACGCTTCTCAATCCCTATCTTTACCATTGCGGGATACGCCGATATGGCAGTTGGGTATCGGATTGGGCTGCGGAAAACGGCCGAGTGGAGACTGTTCAGAAATCACTGGCAGCAAGGGCATGCACTCAACCTGCGTTTACGCTTCAAAGGCCTCTACTTATAGCAGCAAGAAACGGATATGGAGACATACTGAAGCTGTTGCTTACTGCCGACGACCCAAATCTCCAGGATTCTGATTTGTGTCAAGCCTTATCATGGGCAGCACAGAATGGACATGTCGCAGTAATTAAGCTACTGCTCGCTGCCGATGGCATCGACCCAAACTCCCAGGATTGTGATGGGTGGACTGCTTTATCGTGGGCCGCACGGAGGGGACATATGGAGGTAACTACGGTACTACTCGCTACCGATGGCATCAACCCAAACACGCAGGATTCCGATGGGTGGACTGTTCTATCGTGGGCAGCACAGGATGGAGACGAAGCAATCGTCAGGCTGTTGCTTGCTACCGTTGGCATCGAGCTGGACTGTCCCGATTTCTTCGGATGGACGCCGCTATCTCATGCAGTACGCAAAGGGCATGACAGAATAGTCAGGCTACTGCTTGCGGCCGATGGTATCAGCCCAAACACCCAGGATGCCAGTGGGCGTACTGCCCTATCGTGGGCGGCACAGAATGGAGACGAAGCAATCGTCAGGCAATTGCTTGCTACTGATGGTATTGAACTAGACTCTCCTGACTCCGCTGGATGGACGCCTTTGTTTCATGCAATACGGGAAGGGCATGACGCAGTGGTCGGGCTGCTGCTTGCTACTAATGGTGTCGACCACGACTTCAAGGCTCGTGGTCAACAGACACCTCTGATGGTGGCAGCATTCTACGGAGCGGAGAAAACTGTCAAGCGACTCCTCGACAATGGCGCCAATCCGAACTCTCTCTACAGTAATCAAGGGACGCCCCTGACATACGCTAGAAGAAACGGACATCACGGGGTAGTCAAAATTCTGCTCTCTGCGCTCGGGATTAAACCGGATTTCCCGGACATTTAAGGAACATCCATATCCTATTTAGGCAGCGCGGGGCGTGCACGAGTCAGAGTTCAGAGTTCTATTTGCTAGAGATGACATTCATTTAGATCGGGGATGCTCTATATATAAACAGCTCCCGCTGTCTCTATCATGCATTATTATGTATATTATGCCAGTGGGGTGATATCAAAGTTTAGTCGGCACGGCCCGTACTGTGCTGATATCGACCCCAAGAGCTTGAGGAGTGGATCCCTTTATCTCTATATGAGTGACACTGCGGAAAAGAAGCGATAGCGATATCACTCGAGAAGTTAGGGACAGTGCTATTACTACGCCTCGCGTATTCAAAATTCGGTGATCGTTTGTGACGCGTCAACGGGTCGCTAGCCATTACCATATATTCTTGGCCTCTCTGAATTATGGGTTGATCAATAAATATCATAAAGTACAAGGGTAGAAAGATCGGAAACTAGCCGAAGCATGGGCTTCATGCCGGACATTACGGGTTTCGACTTTGCAAATCCCCGGCCCTATAATTTTTGTTGGATATTGATCGGTGGTATCTGTTGACTAATAATTGTAAGCTTAATAGTGTAAACAATGACTGGTTGGGAACCATGGAAGCTTAGCACATTTTGCCACAGAAACCTTGTTAGCAACAGAAGTTTACTTGCGATGATATATGCCAACAAGATCAACGTAATTTTGGGTGAAAAGTTGAATAGTCTATAATAGAGATATAAAATTCCTATTTTAAATTGAGCTTAATGATCTGCAATCATTGCTGGCATTGTCTTCCAAAGTACCTTAACCCCAAGCGGGTAACAGGGGGACACAGTTACGGTGGGACGCACGTTAGGATCCGTCCGTAATAACGTATATGCCGGTCACCAAAGAGCTATTTAAAAAATAGGACTACGTAAAAGGGAATTTTCACATGATCCGTAAACTTTATCTAGGCTATTGACATAAAAAAGCGTCCAGAGACTGGAGTACTGCCGAAGGCGGACCCATTCTACTGATATAGCCTAAGTTATAATGTGGACGAAGACACACCTTTTCAAGGTGAATCTCCGTTACCTGCTCCGGTAGCTGCTCCAGGAACCGTCTTAATATGTCGTAGAGGACCATGCAGTCATGAAGCTCAATGCTTTTTAAAGACGCAGGAAATCGTTTCAAAAGGACTGGCTCCCAAAAAGCAGTCTGACCCCGCAACACCAGATGTGTAATAGTTTCCAGGGCCTGGAGAAATGGGTTCAGCATTCCAATTGACGCAATATCCACGAAGGAATGGACGATATCCACCAGAAGAAATTTTATAGGGCTTGGATGTTTCCTACTCGTATTGATTGCCGCAAGGGCTTCTTGTAGATAGGTTTGAATTGATCGGCAGTAATCGAAATCATCTCCATATGTAGACCTACCCCTGGGATACAATAGCGTAACGACGAGACTTTCTATTTTAGAGCACCCGTCCACCGCATGGGACAAGGAATTCATGGTAACGTTGGTAGGGGGCTGTTTTATGTTGGTTGTCGATCTCATGTCACGTTGGGGCCGATAGCACCACGGATTCCCTAGAAAGAAATCTCATAAGTTAATGACTTTACTCGACGAACAATCTTTCCGGTTGATAGAACATACGGGGAATATGGTAAAAGAATCCATGGTACACAAGAGTTCTAACGTGACTCTTGACTAGATGAGACTGGAGCATTACTTCACACCTATCCGATTGAACGGTGACTTTTCGAAAGAGCCGTGGAGCTGCCACCAGTCGAAGAGCCCGACTAGCCAATGCGACTGATTTCAAATCATCAAACCGCAACGAGTGAATAACCTCAGACACCAGCTCAGTAGGAAGGTCTGTCAAGCCGGCCATAATTCCCGTTTACTAGAGACAGGCAGAATGGGCGGCGACAGCCAAAACAAGTGGGAGACTGTGTCGAGTTTTTCAGGCCGCAATGCGGACCGCCTCCCTACGGAATAGATGATTGTCTGGTTCTTACTGTGATACCAAAAATAGACCCATGTATGATGTTTAAAAGAAAATAATGCTAATAATAAAGTCTTTTTTTTTTAAAAAAAAAAAAAAGGACTTCGAGAAGTATAATCTAATAAGATTATAACTTGCTATTCACTGCAAATTTAAACACGTTTATTGGTTCCTCCCGGTAGCCCCCCACTTTAACTTCAATTCCTATTTGCCAATTTTTATGCACCTTCTCTTATCTCAATACTTCTTTCATCTCCCTCGCATATTTTAGCTTTCTTATCCAATTAGAATAACCCACCCCTATACTACTACTGGATTTACTATTATCCTGTTTCTTTATTTCTCACTTCCAGTTTTTATATTTTCTTGCTGCTTGTTCTTTCAAATGATTTTATCTATCTCCCTCTATGCCTCTACCTATCATCGGCTAGATCCTTTAGATAAATTTATATTTCACATTCTTTTTTTCGTCTGAAATTGATAAGCTATATATATCTATTAGTATCTTCTTTCTAATATTATAGTCTCTATATAGAAAAGTTAAAAATATCCTAATATTTTTCATTAATTATATTATCAATAATCTATTTACATGCTATATCATAAATGAGTAGTTATAGTAAATTAATTAATAATGATATATTAAGACGTAGTACTTTATGTTTCACTGTCTTTTTTATAATTAATTTATATATATATAAATAGTATCTAGGTAGGGGTATATTTTTATATTAAGAGGGTAAAAGACAGAAGAATAGAACATATATACCACCGACGCGCCGCGCTTTGCTTCCCGTGGCGTGGGGTCCAGTAATAGAAATACCTAGAAATAGCCAAACATGATAGTAATAAAATATATCGAGAGACCAAGTTTGTGCACAGTCCACCTTTTGTTTTATAAATAGTCCCCAGCTCATTTAAAGAAGATTAGAGTGGACGGGAAAGCCAACGTTTATGATTGAATTCGAATTCTCGGTCACGATATCCAATTCTAGCAATACCGAGAATGGCAAGGCTGAAGTCAACAGTGAAGCAATATCAACCACGGCAAATGCAAGTGAGCCATAACGTTGTTGCGGGTAAACAGCCGAGAGGATCTGGCTGCAGCCATAGACAATACCGATATAAGCCCGGTACGATCTCTGTTCAATTGGCTGATGTCGTCGAGTTAATGACCGATAGGGACTATTGCACTCCGAGAGATTCGTCGATACCAGAAAGGCACCGAACTTCTTATCAGAAAGCTACCCTTCCAACGGCTAGTTCGTGAGATTGCAGGGTGTATCAAACCAGAAATTCGCTTCCAGTCTAGTGCCATATCCGCGCTCCAGGAACAATGCGAAGCCTACTTGGTCGAGCTATTTCAAGACACTAATTTGTGTGCAATTCATGCCAAGCGGGTGACGATTCAACCGAAAGATATGCAATTAGCGTCTCGCATTAGAGGCGATCACCAACGGCGTTGACGCTAAGCCGAAATACATTCCGAAGAACGGTTCGTTGGTGAGGACAATTTTCAACATGAGATACATGCCATTCTAGACCGTCGTCTATTTTCGCACTCTCTATTGATCGAGCGCCTAGACTTTATTGTAGCGATTTAACTGGCTGCATATGATTCGATGTACGGAATTCATCTGAAGAGATAATCATCATTTGGGATTAAAAATAAATCGCCATTTGAATTGCCCCGCATACTAATATCTTTAACATGATTAACTATTCTCTGATGATGATTATAATTATTGCTATCACTTTCATTTCTTGGGTATACGGCAGCCTGGCGGAGCGCGCTGGGTTAGCATATAAAGCAAAATGATAGCGGCGCCTTATATCCTTTTATCTTCTGCCTTCTGTCCTGGTCTACGTTACTTCATTGTTATCCAATTTGCCCTTTTCAAACCACGAAAGGCCATGAATGAGACTACGCGAAACGTGTCCGCAATTATTGTAAAATCATAACTAGCCGAAGAGGCGTGATACATGTTAAACTATACATATATTTGCTGTTGTACAACAAGAACATTTTACAATAACGGCGAATATATAGGCGCCATAGTTTCTTTTATTACTAGAATATCACACGAAATACAATATTACCAAATATTACCGAATAAAAAATTTGAAAGGAAAGATGAAAAAAGGCGAGTGGGTTCAGGTTCGCTTATGCACAGCATTGTTAATTGGTCTGCTAGGAAACTTACGAAAAACCCTAGACGACTGATTCTGGCAGCACTTATGAGGGAATAGCCGTTCTGGGACCAGAGGGGTCGATCTGAAAACATATGGAAAGTCAACATAGGCAGCCATTGTGTTTGATCCAATAGTACTGACAATATCCTCGGAAGCTTTGAGGCTTTTTCGAAGTTTTCACAATCTTAAGGTTGCTCGCTTCAAGGACGTGGAACTACTTGACTTGCACCCCCAAGCTACGAGTCAAAATCTTTCACAATTGTCAAGGCTCTCAAGTCATCCCGGGATCACCTCAAGGACGTCAATTTGGATATCAATGATATTGTCCATGTAGAGGATGGAAGTTGAGAGTGTACTTCTTTGAATCTTCCGCCCAACGACGACATATGAGGGAAAATGTGCGTTACCTAGCCAGTGGTGTTATATTTCCTGCCTCCTTGATCTCCTTGCAGGTCTTTGACCTCAGAGAACGGCCAAGTTTCCTTTCTTTCTTTTTTGTTCTTACTGGCTGGCGCAACCTCCCTTATATCACCCGACCCTCTTGAAAGCCGGAGCCAAAGCCTCGATAGTCTGCGTCGAAGACTCAGAGAAACTCAGATTCTTTCAAGTCGAAATCGCCTATCTTCTCTACACATACTGGCGACCTCGCTCCGAAGCGAATTTGTTTGCATGCATAGTAAATTCTCTTTGTCTAGATATTTTATGGATATTGTCGAGTCCTTCCCTCGTTGGAAATATTCCACAGCATGTTCAAAGAACAGCGAGAACTCCTTAGACGGACCAGAGCCCGCTCGCTTTGCCGAACAATAACGTGCTTTTCTTCCTCCTTTTC